TCGCATAAGGCAGCTTAACTGCCTAAAAATGGGGCCCAATATTCAAAATAGTAATACAAGATTAGAACCCATTGAAATTGGTTAAAAAATTTGTATTTATTTTCAACTGAAGATTCCTTGCTATTGTGTAATACTGTGCTATTGCGCAATACATGTACTGTGCTGTTGCACAATACTTAGTTAATTTGTTATATATAATAATTTACACACCCTGTTTGGTGTGTATCTCCTGCCATATCAGTATTTGTTGCTTTTATATGTAAATCAGAAATAATCAATGTAAAAATTAAAAAATTTTGGGAAAAAAAAACAAAAATTAAAAAAAAAAAAATCCCCCCAAAAAAATTTTTTTGAAAACATTTGAAATTTTGAAGAATCGTGAAGAAAAAAAGTATGAACCCCCTTTAAAAAAATGTTCAAAAAATTTGTGAAATTTCTAAAAATTTTGAAGAAAAAAAATATGAATCCCCCCCAAAAAAAATTTGAAAAAAAATCCCCCCCCCCCATTTTTTTTGGAAATTTTGAAGATTATTTTCTTTTTTCAGGAAAATGTACAATTTCAGAGAGTTCCATAAACTTGAACATAAGTTATTGTCTTGAAACTAGAAAAATGCTTGTTTTTGGCCCTTTTTGCACCTAATTTCTAAACGTTTGGGGCAATTACCCCTATAATCAATCCCAGCCTTCCCTTTGTGATACATTGTATGGAACCTTGTGGTACAATTTCTCAGAGATCCATACACTTACACACAAGTTATTGTCCGGAAACTACAAAAATGCTTGTTTTTGGCCCCTAATCCCTAAACTGTTGGTACCATTACCCCCTCAAAATCAATCCCAACCTTCTTTTTGTGGTATTGAACCTTCTGGTAAAATTTCATAGAGATCCATTCACTTAAACTAAAGTTATTGTCCGGAAACCAAATGTGTCTTCGGACGACGACGATGACGACATGATAGCATTATACAAAGGCAAATGTTTTGCGGTCGTATAAAAAGCATGTTTAATGTGTACATTCATTTTCTTTTCAGCATTTCATTAGTAATACTGTATACAAATGTATTTTTATGGATTGGTAAGGCAATATAAGAATCAGAGTGAAATTAACTAAGCTTAAGCTGGAAAACCTTACAAATTAAGAATACCTATTAGTAGTGCATTGCATAATGAGAGTTAAAAAAAAAATGTAATTTGAATTTTGAATAGGATGTTAAAATTCTTGAAAATATAAAAATGTAATGCAATACATTTTATATATAACAGGTATCATTAAGAGCATCAAATTTAAAGAAACGTATAAAAATGGAAGCTACATGACACCACAGTGGTAAACAAATAAACTCCCTTTACATAAGCTGATATAATACCAGCAACAACATTATCACAATAATCTATCATTAATTATCTACAGGAAGTATCATGAATGACAGATAGCCCATAGATAAAGTAATGCCTTATTTCCTAAATGTCTTCTTATCCTGCTGTCATGTAAAATAAAACTTTAAGATTGCAGCCATAATAAAGTAATGTATTACATGTAGATTAGCCCTGTATAATGTATTACATGTAGATTAGCCCTGTACAAAAGATCATCAATTAGCATTAGAATTCAAAACATGTTCCTTGCCTTGATTTACAAAACAATTTTGGCCTTTCAAAAACAAGAGATTCATAATAAAATAGTAAATAATCATAAAAAGACAAATGAGGACATATTATAACTGAGACTCTGCACTTATTTCATAGTATACTGTTGTTCTAATATTAAAACTATAAGAGTATAACATACAGTGACATTACCTACATTGTAATGTATTTTTCACAAGTTTTGAATCATAAATAAAGAATGAGTACAAGTTAATTTTTAAAAGTTTATATATAAATGTACATTGTATATGTATTATTTAATTAATTTTGTTGGATTTAGACCACATACAGGTATATGTAGATGCAGTGAGCCAACAATAATAAACTGCTTCGCTTAGCGCAGCTGGATACGCCCGCAGAGGTCCATCCCTGAACAGTTTGGGAAAAAATGGACAAAATATTCAAGCTTGATACAGGTCTGAATTTGGATTGTAATTAAATATTTGACATATTATAGGTTTCTGAATAAATGTAGTCAAAGAACTTGAAATTGGTTATATGAATTGAATTTATATTCAATTAAAGATTTCTTGCTGTTGTGCAATACACTGTGCTGTTGCGCAATACTTAGTAAATCTGTTGTCAGACTATAAACAAATAAAATCTTATAACTCGGAAACGTAAAATCGAAAATTTATAAAAATCAAAAAGGGAGCTTACAAGAATACATATAAACAATTTACCAAATTTTCATAAAAAATGCTAAAAGTATTTTTGAGTTATTGTCTGAAAACTGGAAAATCCCCCATTTTGTAATGAATAAAACCTCATGAATCGGAAACAAATAGTCTAAAATTGATAAAAATCAAAAGGGAGCTCATGTCGATAGAAATAAACAATTCACCAAAGTCTCTAGCAAATTGGTGAAATTGTTTTTGAGTTCTTGTCCGAAAACTGGAAAATCCCCCCTTTTTTAATGAATAAAACCCCAAAACTCGGAAACGGTAAATGTGAAATTTATAAAAAACGAAAGGGAGCTCAGGTCAATAGATATAAACAATTCGCACAAGTTACATGCAAATTGTTGAAATTGTTTTTGAGTTATTGTCCGAAAACTGGAAAATCCCTCCTTCTTTAATGAATAAAACCCCAAAACTCGTTAAACGGTAAATCTAAAATTTATAAAAAACGAAAGGGAGCTCACGTCAATAGATATAAACAATTCACCAAAGTTTCATGCATATTGGTTAAAGCGTTTTTGAATTAATGTCCCACATGTTGACGACGGACGGACGGACAGACAGTCAACGGTATACCCTAATACGTCCCGTAAACGGGCGTATAAAAATGGATCAAATTATAAGTTCATTCCTGCATGTACAAAACATGTAATGTACATGTATCATTCAATATATCTTACTTGAAATAATTTTTTAATTTCCATGTTCATGTATATATTTTTTACATGCACTTTTACTAGACGTGTACATGTATACCTAGTTGTTATTTTTGACATTGCTAGTTTATCATTATTTTTCAGTGTCTGACACTCTTAGAAATGGTTTTATACATTTTTACCTCTCTATACAAATTTGAAAATGGACATTAACATGTATTTTGTATTTTCATGTTGACAGAGTGGATATGGGAAGAAGGCACCTGGTATAGATGCACACAAGATAACAAATTAATGAAATATTTGGTTTATCAATAAAATGAACGTTAGTTTTCATCTTGCATTGAAATCTGCTTGAAAATCTTCAATAATGAACTTAACAGTTCACACCTTACAGCACAAAAAGATGGCACATTTACCAATCAACTGCTACACATGTACACATGTACATATGTGTTTGAAGAAATATACATTAAAAAAATGTACAATATAGTCATCATTACTATTTTGTGTTTACTCTAAGACTTTTTGCAATACAAAATGAAACATGAATTTATATTATTATTCTGTCAGAGATATATATACAAAGGGTCCATTTTTGTAGATTTGCTCTACAACAAGTCAAAATTGTTGGTATCATGGAGTTATTCATTTGTGCATGTACATGTACATGTATATTGAATTAAAGTTTTAGGAATTATCTAAATATATCATTAAGGTAAAATATTTATTATATATATACAAATCTAGAATTTGCTAAAAACAGAATGGAACTACAACTAAGCTGTGCATCTTTAATTAGGTTTCCCAAGGGCAATGGATAATAGTATGTACTTCATAAAATGGCCCTTTGACCCTTACTTGGTTTTAGAGACATAGTGAATTTAAATTGTCTCCCTTATGTAACATAATAAAGGGAGATACATGTACATGTACATAAGCATGAGTTTAGTTTTTGTCTGAGATATGTACATTCCTTTAAATACAATGGAGGGAGGGGAACTTGTTTAATACATGTTTCATCAGGTTAATGGTCTACAAGACAAACAAAAATTGATGTATGTTTTTTTTGCAATTAACATTGAATTTACAAAAATATTAAAAAAAAAGATTCTTTTTGCAATTAAATTTTTTTTCTCAATTTTTGTGAATTTTTTACACAGAAATATTTAACTGTTTTTCTTTATAATGCTTGTCAAGTTTTTATCATGTTTACATACTGCACTTCCAGAATATCTAGAAACTGAAATTTCATGAAAATCTGTATTGAGGGAGATAATATTTTAATATAGTCCAAATACCAGGCTATTTTATATTTTTTTTTGCTGCGACACCTTCCTACAAGATATCATATTTGGATTACAATTTTAAAATATGCTCAAACTTAAGATGTACAAGACCTACAAAATGTCATTACAAAAAAAGCCAATGGTCTTCAATCTTTCTAGCACCCAAGGGTGACAGGGGAATAGAAATATGGTCACTTTGGTCATCCAACCAGCAGTAAAATTCTTGCCAAAGTGAGGTGACATTTTGTTTTTTTGGGGATGTACAAGTACGCAGCCACATCAGGTCAGAATGGGGATAAAAGTCTGAAGCCACGTGTTGAGAGTGCCAAGCTCTCAGCCTCTCAGGATGTTCAGAACCCTTGCAACAATTGTTTGAGAGGTCCTTTGGTGGCCTGTTGCAAGGCAAAATTTGTCCATATCTAATATACCCTCATTTTCCGTAGCAGTTCCCCAACCTTCATTCTGAATGAGCTCTTTACCTGGACCTATCTATTGTAATTATTGTTAATTTGTTCTCATCCTTAACATGCATGAAATGTTTGCCACTGGCCGTTAACAGCTGGTTAAGCAACCAACAGTCAATCAATCTAACGTTATATGTAAAATTAAATTTGAAATAATATTTAAAATATATACAATTAAGGATTTCAGCCTATTTTGCAGGCACATAACATTAAAGAAATCATAACAAAAAGTAAAATGTTGATGCAAGGTGAATGCAACTTACCTGTATTAACAACAACTGGGCCTACGCTGGAAAACCAAACCAGAACAAATAAACTTGGTTGGAAATCCATTTCAATTCAAATATATTTATAAATCATTATTCCTAATTGCATTTTATTAATGCACAAAAGATTTATATATGCAAAATCCATTTCTACTGCTTTCTTTGAAGTCTCGCATTCTCTCGCACTTTGTTGTATGGGGACTGCTACAATGTTTACCACGGACCTGACCTCGGTTTTACAAAGTCGTGGTATGCAAAAAAAATAACTTTTTAAAACAAAAGTAATGCAGATCTCTAATGGTCTGCTAACGTCAGAAATTTGAAACTTTTCTTAACTTAAATCAACTCCTTTTTTGACATTTTTTTAACATATATAAAATGGGTTATCAAAAGTTTGACCTTTGAAATGTGGTATGGTTGTTTAAACAAACAATACTTACCCAAAACTTAGTATATAATGTGATATTTTCAAAAACATAATGAAATACATTTTGTGAAAAAATTACACACTTTGTGTGGATTGTACAATCATAGAAAAGGCATCATATAAATGTGAATAGAAGGTAAACTAAATGATAGAATTTTGAAATAAAATATGAGAAGATAGTTCATATGAAATGCTTTCGGAATATAAAAAAAAAATGTCGTCATCGTACCTTTTTCATGCTTTAACATAAAATAGAAACATTTCCTGGAGATTTCTTTATAAGTTATACTTTTTCTGAGTTACTTCCCCCTAAATTCGAAAGTTGTAAACAAAATGAAATCAAGCACAAATATTCTACTTTTGTAAAGATATGAGTGACAATAACATAAGATTACATTAATTTCTTCATTTAAATGAAAATTATTATCAGTAAGTTGGAATCCTGCATCAAAATTTGTTAACTTAATTGAAATTTCAGACCTATTGTGTTTTGCTATTTTACAATCCAAGATGGCGGAAGACACCCATACCACCTTAAACTAGAGACTCGGACTTTAAATCCTCTTATAAACAGAACTCATGTTACTTTTTTTATTATGTAGATATTAGCCGACTCTAAATATGATTTACTTAATTACTTACTTTCAATAGTCCAACATGTTTGTTACATTTGATCAATTTAAGGTTGTCTTGCTAATGATTAAAAGTTAACTAAGTATTGTTCTGGTAAATAGTAATTATGAATGACATAATAATAGAAACAGCGTGATTTATTCATTATTTTTCTTCTTGCATGAGAAAGGAATAGAATACAATGATAAATAAATTTTGTGTGCTGAATTAGGATTAAAATATTACTATTCATTCTGCCATATTGCCAAATGCAATGTGCATCTTTTTTCTCTCTATACATAGCCACTAAGTTTTGTCCCTGAAAAATACCTATATACCGTAAAATAACACAGGTACTTGTTTCTGAAAAAAAACCTAAGAACCTTTATATCTCGCGTTATATTAGGGTATATATAGGTATAATACTATTTTTTCAGAGACAAGTGCCTGTACATGTGTTATATCAGAGACATATACACATGTGTGTATATATGTCTCTGGTTATATCAAGGTATAGAGTTTTTTTAAATAAATCAGTGAAAAGTGCCTATGCATATGATGCACAATTGATAGGATCAACAATACTATGTATATATTGTCGGAGGTAGATAAGATACGTTTAGACAAAATTGACAAGAAAATCGTCATATGAAGCAAAGAATGAGACTTTTAAAAATAATTAACTGCCTTACCTTTTCCAAAAGGGAGTTATAGGGGGTGGGGCGGATCTAGGATTTTTGAAAGTGGGTGTTATTACAAAAAAATCTATAAAGAAAAAAAATGGACGATTTTCTGACAAAACATTTTATATTTTGTCACTCAAAGGGCGGGCGTACACCCTCTACGCAATCCGCGACTGGTTATCTAGACATCTGTTGTGAGTGACTTGAGAAGACCGTACAAATTAAATGCAGTGTGATCAGTCTATCTTTTTCTAAACCAAATTGTAAAAGATATTTAAATCGTGATGGATTTTTACCTTTGTAAAGAAATTTCCTTTCATATCTTTAATCTGAATATTTTTATTAAATGGAGGCTATATATTTTCATCAAAAAGTCCACAGTGACGAGTAATGCATCGATGTGCAGTTTGAAAACGGAGCTGTGAAAATACCAAAGTACGCCGTGTTTTCAAATTTCATTATTTGATTTAAGATCAATATACCTGATTTATTTATACTCTAGACCATCATTTTCTGTTGTCTGTCGAAAATTTCAGTATAAAAAAGAATCTTTTTGCAACAACAACAAAAAAAGTTAAATAAATCAATTATGAAGATTTATCATATAATATGAAGTCAACGGACTTTTTAAAATTAATCATAATTATGTCGGTATGAACAAAAAAAGTATGACTACTGTATTTATAATTTGATTCGGCATTTAGAAACAGTTACAACATAAGCTCCTGATAGAAAATGTCTGCCATGTATTTTAAAAATCAAACCAACAAAAGTAATGCCATGCAGCACGAGTTCTAGCCGTAGAAAAAGTCTGTGTAAAAATGTTAACACCTTTATGCTTTTTCTTGCAATATTTAGTGTGACAAATGTTCCCCCTTTTCCATCAATATGTTTTATAAATGGGTACTGGATGCGGATCAGAAATACACATTTTAGATAACTCATTGCTTGCCTGTAATTCTACATTATATACTCGCTTGCAATTTGAAGGAAGATGGACACTTAGCGTTGTTGGCAACGAAATAAAGGTTATTTACAATGTGTTTCATAAAAAACTTGCACAATTACACTAACATTTAATACCAAATTTAAAATTACTGGTTCCATATAGTGAAATCTATTGCAAGTGTTCAAACTTTAAAAAAACACAATATTGATCGGTTAATTTACTGCAAGGATTGATCAAATTTAATCATGACGTCTGTCTGAGACTTGTACGTGAATCTATTGGTGACAGTGTCTGCAGAAGGTATATTTTCATTTTTTTTATTTTATAGATCTCTCAGGAAGCAGAAGCAGTCAAACCAAAACTTAAAATAGCTCCAAAGCGTTATAATTTTTTGGACTACAACAGGAGGGTAGGAATGCCTTTTACAATCAGGCGTCAAACGGTCATTTTCGGCTACCGTTAGCGTCAATTTGGTTAAAATTTTACCGTGATTCGTCAAAGGTCTCAAATAATTATCATTACCGTTATTTTTGGAAAAAATTTAATGTGATTCGTCAAAATCAGTCGCTTTTTTTATCGTCTAAAAGAAAGTGTTCATTTTATCGTCATGCACCAAAAATTACCGTTAACATCATTTGGCAAGAATTTACCGTTATTCGTCATGAAGATACCCCCAAAAAATGGCCCCATTAAGACCCTCCAACAGGGGTCCAAATTATACACAATATTTCTATATATGTTTAAATAACCTTTTTAGGTTAATAGCTCATTCTGGCCTCAAACCAATCCGACCGTAAGTCGATAGGCCCAAGAACTTCCAGCCACATAAGAAATAAATTAATAATTTATTAATAACAATAAAAGTCAGAGAGTTTTTTTGAAGTATTTCAATCAGGGTATGACTGGGGCCGGAGCAACATAAACAACTTTTTTCACAACAGATGCAACTATTTCTATCATAGATGAAAAGCCAATTGCAGACATATTCAAAATTGAAAAGTAATCTCACTTCAAATATATATTGAGTATCTACAATTTAAATTTTATAGTTTTCACTTTTGCCTTTCAAATAGAGATTGAGAGAAAGAAAAGGCACTTTGTGCATGACAAGCCACCTGAATCTATTCATTACACAAATCTGATGCAAATTTGGAAAGTCTGAATGATCTGAATATGTTTATTTTCGTACATTTTTATGAATATTTATTATGGTTTAATTTTTTATTTAATAAATATTTATATTATTATAAAGTGCCATGGCTGTGGTAATAGATCCCAAAGTAGCTGCCATTATGGCAAAGGTAGAAGAAGAAGAAATAGAAGAAGCAGCAAGAAAGAAGGCACAGCCAAAAGTTAAACCGCCAACAAATCTAGAGGAGTTCTTGGCGGCAGAAAAATTAGTAAGTCATTCAGTGGCATATCCAGGGGGTTGGGTGGGAATAGGGAACAAAAATAATATCATGTTTGTCACAATTTATACAATTTTTTTTTAGCATAAAATCGTTCATTTTTTTTAATATATATTCTGTTTTAGGCATTACAGACCCCTTTCAAAAATCCTGAAATGTACCAGACTATATGCTTTTGGTGTACTGATGATAATTTCAGAAGGTGTTAGCTGGATTATCAGAGATTTTCTAACAGTTATAACATGTAAAACATACTTATAACCATTTTAACGATAGGAAAGTTTCAAAATAAAATCTTAACAAATTCCAAGCTAAAAAAGATGAGATAGGTATTTGAAAATACTGAAAGATCAGTTTCATGCCATCCATTATGTCATTAGAAAGTAAGGAGATGGGGTATGATTGCAAATGAGACAACTATCCAATAAAGGAAAAATGAGGTGGATTTAAGCAATTATAGGTCTTTGAATGGCCTTTAACAATAAGCAAAACTCATACTGTATAGTCAGCTATGAAAGGCATGACATGACACAATTTAAACAAAACAAACCAACAGCATGAAATATGACAAAACAACCTATTGAATGCTTACAAATGGTTGCATGGTTATTTTTTCACGAGACATAACTGTAATTTTTTATGTTGAGCCTTACATTGATATTTTTACAGCTGACCCTTCCTTTTGGTAGTCTGCACTTAAAGCTTGACATCAAACCCTGGATGTTTACAAATATTTGATTAAATCTGCAGTTTCAAATAAAGATAGTTCACAATATATAATGAACTGATTGATTGTTGCCTGTTCAACATCCAGTGGCAACATATCACATGACCTCAAGATGTTGTTTTGGTTTTATTTTTTGATTTTCAGCTATCTTTTTAATTTATACCCCATATTTCTTTTTGTTAACAGTACTTGCTAAAGATGGTATGGCTTACACAATCACTTATTTCTTCCAAGAATAAAAGATATCTTCATAAAATTGTATAGGTAGTGGGGGTAAAACAAAAATTTAGGAATTACCTGACTCCTCTCAACATTTATTTTGATATATTTTTCAGGAAGACTGGCCTTATCCTATGGCAACAGAAGGTCCATTAGATCTTGAAAATGAGGCTCTGCTACTTGGCTCACAAGATGATATAGCTGCAATTATAAGAGATTCAGCTCGTATCCTTGAAGAAATTGCAGTCCATATTTAGAATTTTATTTTATATTCTTTGCATCGTTCTATATATACTTTTAAGAAGAAATTTTGATCACTGAAAAAGTGATTTTTAAGAAGTATCAGACAAAAGTACAATGTAGAATGCAAACTTTAGGAACACGAATTAACAGTGCAATGAGTTCATGCCAATGTCATTTGGTTACCATTTAAAGAGGCATAAGCTGTCAAATTCATGATCACCAATTTGACTGAAATTCTCATATTTGATTTATAACCTACTAAAGCGTATATCCAACTTACAAAAAGTCTAAAATGAACAATTAATAATCCATTGACTTGATAATATGTATCAGCATTTCATGCGTATTTTAGTCTAGATGCCATCTAGTTAACCATTGAGGTGATCTCAGAAGACTGCCAACAGTCATATAACCGATATAAACATAAGTGAAGATATAAATAGATAGTGACCACACATAATAGGATTTTTCTATGTCTGTTTGATTTCATTTTATAGGATAAACAAATACATATATGTTAATATGCCGCGTACGTCCTCAAAATTGGTTTCCGTTCTCTAACTTTAGTTTGCCTCAACCAAATGTTATAAAACTTATACACAATGCTTATTACCACAAAAAAAAACAGATCAAGTTCAAAATTTGGTGGCGTCACTTTTACAGTTCATGAGTTATTCCCTTTTATAAACATAAAATTGCTGAATTTTTCGTTTCCATTCTCTAACTTTAGTTTGCCTCAACCAAATGTTATAAAACATAAACACAATGCTTATTACAACAAAACACAGATCAAGGTGGAAATTGGGTGGAGGCACTTTTTCCGTTCATAAGTTATGTTCCTTTATAAACATAAAAATTGCTGAAATTTTCGTTTCGGTTCTCTAACTATAGTTTGTCTCAACCAAATGTTATAAAACTGATACACAATGCTTATTACCACAAAACACAGATCAAGTTCGAAATTGGGTGGCGTCACTTTTACAGTTCTTGAGTTATGCTCCTTTATAAATGGAAAAATTGCTAAATCTGTCGTTTCCGTTCACTAACTTTAGTTTGCCTCAACCAAATGTTATGAAACTTATACACAATCCTTATAATCACAAAACGGTCTTAACTACGTGAATCCTGCATCTGTATGTGGAAGTTGACTCATGCATATTTACAAGCGGGGGCATCTGTGGCCCATAGACACATTCTCCATTTATTTTTATATCTCGTAGCTAATGCCCCTTTAACAAAATCTTGTAAGAAAGTTAAAAATAGAAGATTTCAGAAAATATTCATTTTAAATAGTATGAAACTTAACATCCTTGTAGCTATTGGGTTACACATGATGGAAGATTTAGAATCAGATCTGGAGGACCTAGAAAAGAAATTAAAATTCTATGCAGATCAGATTTTGGCTGAAGAGGACCAGGAAACAAAGAAAGTGGAGAGATTACCTTTCTCTTCAGCCAGAAGTATGTATATACTCAGAACTAGCACTCTGATTAGATGGCTAGTATTTATTATCAGTATAAATCAGTAGTGAAGCATTAGTGAGATGCAAAAATTGAAATACTCCGATAAACACCAAGGGATTCTGGGGAAAGGTATTATTTCCTTTGAATGATTATGGTGCATTAACATCATGTCAAAATATGACGTCATACAAATGAAAACTTTCAAAGTGAAAGTTATTTCTTTACTTGTACAATTCAGATTGGGATAAAATTCATTAAAAGGGTGTTTTTGAGGTAGGTTATATTCTATTTTCGATTCTATTTTATTTATCGAACATTTGTGAATTCCAGCAATTCAAAATGGCAGCACAAGACATGTCAGTTGTGGATTTTACAGTAAATTTTAGGCGATGAAAAAGGTTGTAACATTAGATTGCATTAGAATCATATAGTGAATTTACTCTTAATACAAACAAACATTTAAATTTCAGCTTTTATAACAGAAATGACAGACTCAGATGCTGTGAAAACACATCATAGTGCAAAAGTACCAAAGAGTCTTGTAAGTTTTTCTTATTATTTTTTTGCATGTCGCATGTTCTTAATTTGTGAATTTCTTTTGCTTTTAAAGCACTTACCCATACATTATTTTGAGTAAAGAAAATGTAGAAATGTTAGTTAAGGCAAATTTCTTTACTATATACCTTCGAATTTCAGTTTACTCATTGTCATATATTTTTATAAATGTCTGATTTAATTTGCTGTCTCATATACTGCAATTCAGGGAAATTTAGATTTACATCTTAAATATAAAAAAAGGTTATTTTTGTCATTCTTATTTCTTTATGATTTTTTGCTATGGAACTATATACACTGCAATAATTATAGATGTTATTTAGTGCTTTCCTTACAAAACATGTATTACAAATATTTCTTAATATCTATAGGTATAAAGATACACTTCTCTGGAATTGAGCTTTCAGTACACTGTATCAAATCTAGATATGTTTAATACACATTGCACACTTTTAGACGTTCATATTAGTTGCACTAATGAATTTCATTCTGATATTTCTTAAAGTAGATGCATGATTTTTTATGATAGCATGTTTTTATTATACTAATGTAATATAATGTTTGTATAAAAATGTACAGGATTCAAAAAGTGGGGTGAGTATTACAAGATTGTAATGTGTTCCCTCAAAAAAGGATGAATTATCTCCCTTGTCCATAATTATAAAACATGGTGTTCCTGCTAATGTTTACACTTTTCATTTAATAGAGTAAATGAATTGAATTTTTCTTTCATATTTCAAAGTCATTTGAAAGGACTACTTTATTAAAGGGATATTGTCTTCCATTTTTTTTTACAATAAAACCAATTTGATTTGAATGTTTTAGCACAAAACTTTAATATACTATAATATTTAAATCTTAACAATTCTTTACATCAAAATAGTTTTGAATAAAAAGCTATATTTAAGAGATACTTAGTGCTTAGTGCCTGCCATGAAAATTGAAATGACAGAACCTGTCTAAATGATTCAGGATTTTCTATAAAAAAAAACCAATGAGGAACAATTAGAGTTTATTTTACTGATAAATATTTCACAAAGTTCCACAATAAACAGTTTTTCTAATGTAAAAAATAAGTAAAGGCATAAAGGCGACAACAAGGTTTTTTTTTAATGACCTTGACTACCCATGAGTGTCTTGAAAGGCATAAAGGCATAGCATGAAGTTATGAGATATGAATATTGCCTTTTATTTATACATTTCTATTAGTAAAATTCTGTTTTTGCTTGATTAAGATTAACCATATTATTTTGGTAGACAATATCCACTTAAGAAATATGTCTTACTTAATGATTGTTTGTCAAACTTGCATGTATCATTATCATTAAATTAAAACTATCAATCCTCATTACAGTTAAATGAAACTTAGTCCTTTTATTTATATTGAATATGTCCATAAATATAGATGCTAGTGTTAGGAAATGGACTTATATAGATGGCTAAACGTATGCTGATAGATACAGAAATAAGTATTTTATCAAATAGTAAATAACATATGCTGATAGATACAGAAATAAGTATTTTATCAAATAGTAAATAACATATGCTGATAGATACAGAAATAAGTATTTTATCAAATAGTAAATAACATATGCTGAAACAGAAAAAAAAAAGTTTTAAACAGTAAATAACGTATGCTGATGAAGAAATAAAAAATTATGGAACAGAAATAATATCCTGCATATGAATTATCATTTAAAAAAATGAACTAAGATATTTCGTGTTCCTTTCTTTTTTGAGTTTGCAATATTTCTTTAAGGTAGCGAGACATAGAGATTCTGCATTCCTTTGTTGTTGGCAACGTCAACATTTAGGTTTAGTGACAAAGTCTATGGTTAAAATTTATTTAAACATCAATTACTTTGTTAAACCTTCATGGAATTATATGAAACTTGGACTGAAGCTTCTTCAGGATCAAGAAATAGCATCTATAGAAAATAAATTTGATTTGTTTTATTTTTACAGTATATTACTGATTAATTTTCTTAGATTTTGGCAGTCAACATTACATTTTTACACTGACAGCAGCAATTACAGGCAAGACACAGGGTTCAGCGGAACCCTTTAAAATAACTTGTTATATGAAATTAATATATTAAGTTATATCTACAGACTTTTCTTAGTAAAATGGAGTCAGTAAGTTAAACATTTCTATTGAGCTTTTGTTATTTCAATCATTTTGCTCAATTTTGTACACAATCAGCTTTCAGTCACACACTGAAACCATGAATGACTATATATGTTATGTTAGAATAGAGATTTTTTTTGTATTCAAATTAATTTTTTGCATATAAATATTTATCATAAAATTATTAATAAAAATATATATATATATATATATCTGCGTTTTGATTAATTTGATATTGTTGCATTGTGATGTTGTAATATTAACTAATTTGCTGCTCAGTTTGAATTTATATATTTTTGCTTACAGTTTCACACAGATAAGATATGCACAGACACATTTAAATTAGAAACAAAAAGATATTACAAAAATTGACAAATATAAAAACAAACAAAAATTTTAACCATTTTTCAAATTATTTTAAATTTTCTGTTTTCTGATTTTCCAATTCACATTTTAATTATGTTTACAGCTCTGATCCAATTTTTTAATTAATATAGACTAAATAGTTTTTGCTTTTAGTTTGAGGAATAAAAAATGATTCTAAAATTATTTATCTAACAAGATGCTGATAAAAGACATCGTAATGATTTAGATGATACACAATACAATACAAAAGGTTTAGGTTATCTCCCTTTGATCAACTTTTAATGTTTTTAATGTTGACCTCAAATTTTATGGAATCAGCAAACTGATCACAGTGTTTGTTTGAATGAGTTATGCATTTTGTATTTTCTATATTTTCTCTAGAAATGAAGATCATTTTACATGTGTGTAATATATTATAGTCAATGTCTGTCTAGAAACTGTTTTTGCTATACTTTACATGATTAAATATTGTAAATGTTTTGTGAAGTAATTTCCCTTCTTGGTACATATGAACTGATTCCCCTGCATATTTGAGGTATTCAAAGTATGTGTCATCAAAAGAATCACTTTAAACAAATGGTGCAGAGCAGCAGAAATCAAAATATCAAAGTGTTACCGTCATGGACATGGTTATTTTTCTTGAGTAAAACAAAATAAATTTTTAAAGGTGTAGAGGCATTAAATTTAAATTAAACCTCTAAAACATGTAAGATTATTGTTGTTTAGGGTACTTCATAAGATGTCCAAATAATTATTCAATGCTTTTATTTCATGTTTTCGCATATCTTTATCTAAATTACTTAAAAATTGTTAATTTCAGAAAAGTTTTAATTTTCATTATGAATTCTTAATGCCATAATAGGGATAATTTAACTGTCAGAAATGTTACCATTTTTTTGCTAATTAAAGACTTCCAACCAGATTTATCTCTCTTAAACTGCAAGAGAATGTTTATAGTGATACCAGTAAATGCAAGGTTAAAGGCTCAGTAAGATAAATCAATATTTACAATGAAACTTTTTTGTTTTTGTTTGTTTAGGACTTTGCAGAGTCAATGTTAGAGACTAGGAAGAGGACTATAGAGTTTTGTCAGTTTCCAGGTTTCCGTCACAGGGAACTGGTAGAACTGCCAGCACAAATTGAATCTCTACCAATACTACATAAAATAACCAAAGCTCAAGATTTTAATGTAAGTACTACAGGAAAATACAACAAATTTCACATAAAATTCAACTGCTTTTTTTTGTTTTAATTTACTGCACCAAAGATGGCCAACTCCTGCAAAAAAAACATCAATTTGACTTGCAAGACTTTAATAGGGATGCTGATAGGTGTAGTCTGTATTGATAGTAAGCCTCTTAGGGAGAACATAAATCACAAGGTTGTATGCTCTGAGGAAAACTGTACTGGGTATGGCAGTCTAAAGAAGGCTGTTGCATTAAAAAAATCTAGAACTTTCCAACTTTTTTCAGATTTTTGGCTTTTTGCAACATGAAGTAGTTTTTCCAAAATCATATTTAAATTAAAAACATGTTTAATAGTTATAGTCCTGTTGAATTATGTTTTTTTTTTCTTTCTTAGATTTCAAAGGAGTTGGTTCGCTAACTCATAATTTTGGCCCTAAACATCTGAAATATTTTGACTACAATAATGTTGTGAAAATTTGATGAAAACATGTCAAAATATCCAATTGTTTCAGCCAAAATAGATTTTCACCAATTGCATCATTAGTGACGTATGTTGTTACGTCATACATGTAGGTGAATTTAATAAAAATCAGATTTTTTGCAGAATTCAGCAAAATTTATGACGGTTTTCTGAAATATTAACAGTGGTGTCACCCTTTGCCCACAATTTTTTTTGCTGATATATTCTTTATAAACCATATTCTTTACTTTTATATTTTCAATGGGTGAGGGGTGATGCCACATTTAAGTTAATGAAAAAATGTCAAAAAGTTGACAGATTTCTACCTAAAATGGACGAAAATGAAATCTATTCCTATTTTAGGCTAATAATATTCATAAATATGAAGCGTATATACTATTTTTCTTATTATACTTTCAAATATAATACATTTAGCTATAAATAACACATAAGTTTTACTTAGATAATTGAAGTTTAAAAAAAACCTTAAATACAGGGCTGTTTAATGGGGTTCCTGTTTCTGCTCCCTTTCAAATTTTGAATTTGGGTTCAAACTGCACCTTAAATATGAACTTGAAATCAATATTAAAACAGCTATATATGTAAAAAGAATGGAATAGCCATTGGTTCAAAAAAAAAGTTTTGGGCTGGAGGTCCTTTTATTATAAACCTCTGAACTGTAAGGGTTACCATATGAAGGGGTGTACACATTTATTTGTATTTATATTTAAACAGTTTATTTACACAATGCCTTTTGTTGTTTTTGTGTTGTTTGGTTGCTGTTTTCTTAAAGTATACCTGACATCTTGACATCTGCTTTGTTCATACAATTTGAATAACAGATACCCTTGGTTTATTACTTGAGTATTATATGGAAGTATGCTGATCTCATTTCAGCCTGGTTTTAAGAAATTCTGGAAGAAGTTATTTTTATCAGAAGCATCTGTAGCAGTACTACAAGATACATTTTGGTGGATATTTCTAAATAAATTTGATGAGGTAAGATTTATATGATAAATTTTGTTCCAGTTGAAATTGGGGATCCTACAAATAAAAGTTTAATTTGCTCCATTACTGCAAATTTTTCTCCATTCATATTCGTAATCAAAATGGTAAGTTTTATTGGTGGAACCGCTATCCTGTCAGAAGGAAATGACATAGTACAGTACACCTAGCCATTTTGTAACTTGAGGGAGCCTTGATTTGCTACTGCTGTATTATTAGGTAAGAATGATCTGCTCAAGTATTTCTCTAATTCTTAACTGGTGGGTTCTCAATTCTTCATTGGTCAAAATTCAATTCTGACATTATATTGTATTGCTGCACCTGATTTTGCTATTGTGTTGTCACATGAAAGAAGACAACTATGCTAATGACATCACACAGTTGAAGAACATTTAAAGGAACATTAAAGTACGCTTACTGGTTTGTTCCATCTGAAAATTTTGAGAGAAACAGATTCAACTACTGTGTCTCAACCTATACAATATTTCTCATCTCTTAGCAGTTTGATTTTAAATATTTAGAACCACAGCAACATCTTGTTTTAAAACATGAATTTAAAACTGGCTTAAGTGGAAAAATATCTTATCTTACTATATACAGTTGTTGAATCTATATATTTGAATTTACTACAAGGGCAATTATTTGGCCCTCCACAGTTTGATTTAAAAGGTTCCAGTGATATGGTTTGTTTACAAAAACCATATTTTTAGTCCTAGCTTTTACATATTTAGCAAAAGATATAAAAGAGATTTTAGTTTATATTTTACTTTCTATTTTAAGCATACAGTAACTAAAAATTCCATTATTATTGTCTTATAAGCATCTTTATGAAAAGAAAAAAAATTATTTCAATTAGTAAATCACCAAAGTGACAAGCAAATATACTTTACAAGTAACAAAAATAAAATTACAATATTTTTACATTTGATTTTACATTGTATTTTTGCTGTAAGTGAATATCTATAACTAATATATACACTTTGTTTTACAGGGTAGAAACACAACAGAAAACAAATCTTTGTTGTATGACAGAATAGCTGATAGTTATGTAGCATTATTTACAAGTATACACAATGATGTCAAGGACAAATTTTTAGGAGTAAGGATATATATACATGTATTGTCTATTTTTGATGAAATTAATATTCTGTAAATTTCCTTTTGTCTTATTTTGAATGATAAATGGATCGATTGGTTGGACTAGGACCTTTCATAAAAGATCATTTTGTCGAACCAGCAACATTAATGTCGCGAAAGCCAGACATAGTGATCCTAGATTCTGTTGGCGTCTCTTTGTCGTCAACATGTAGGTTCAGTCTCTGGTTAAAGTTTTTTTAGACATCAATAACTTTGTGAAACCTTCATGGAATTTCAGGAAAATTTGGATAGAAGCTTTTTTACAACCAAATACAGTATCCAGAGCAAAATTTTGAAAATATTTATTTTCATTTTTTCGTATTTTACTGACAAATGGACTTAGTTTTTTTTACAATTAGCAATTCAGATATTCAGATTTAGTCTGAGGTTAAAGTTTTTCAGTCATCAATAACTTTGTCAAACCTTCATGGAATTTTAGGAAATTTGGACAGAAGCTTAGTTTTGACCAATTTACAGTATTCAGAGCAAAATTTTGAAAATATTTATTTTCATTTTCCGTATTTAACTGATAAATGGACTTATTTTTTTAACATTTAACAAATAGGTACAGTCTGGGGTTAAAGTTTGTTACATAATGTTATGGAAGAAATAGGAAGTATTACACTCATTCAAAATTGAACAAGGAATATTCTCTCTTGTGGTAGAAATCCAATATTTTTTTTGTGCTCATTCTATTGCATTTTTCTCTGGAAAAGACAGAAATCCTCAAAACTCTTTGGAAATATCTTTATCGTCAGTAGATATAAGTATAAAAACCTTCTAGTCATTTATATAGAAAAGTTGCTGTTCTTAGTCTTTGTTTGATTCTAAATTTAAATATTCCATATAAATATTCAAATTAGTATGTATTACTTTGGATAAACATTAAAAGTTTTTCTTAATTTAATTTTAATTCATACACATTTTTATGTATTACATAGGAAGCCTAAGATAAGATTTGATTTGTTTACAGGTATACCCTAACTGTTTAGCACAAGCTGTATACCTGATATACCACCAAGCTTTTCCAGAGTCCAGTAACAAACTGGCAGATGAGTTCAAACAGGAATTATGTAATACAGTCTTTGAGTGGATAACAGGTACTTTGCACTTTTCAACACATGATTAATCAAACTTATTATCTTTTAATAGTTGTTCATGAACATTACAACCTTAAATATTACAGCAGTGGGTCTTTTCTTTTTACCTAGGACATTCGTATTGTGATATGATGTACTGTAAATTCAGAAATTATTGCATGCATTTATTATTGCAATTTTTGACAATGGACAAAAATGAGAATTATTGCCATTTCAGGAAAATCGGCTTTAAGATATAATATCAGATATCAGAATGTGAGTTATTATTGCGATACCCACCCAGTCGCATTATTCGCATTAATGAAAACCTCACAAATAATTTCTGAATTTACAGTACTGTCTGTAGATCCCTTATTATTTACCGGGTACCAATTTTCTTGGCTTTCCATGATAAAGGAGAACTACAAATTTAAGTGTACAAGTACAAATGTTCTATAGGCTTGAATGTATATGTGTATTCAAACTTTAGCCCTCATCCCACAAAAAATTGGTACCAATGAAAATAAATGGATCTCTCCTGTTCCAGTACTGTAAATTCAGAAATTATTGTGTGCATTTATTATTAGGATTTTTGAAAAATAGACAAAAATGGGAGATTAATTATTGCCATTTCAGGAAAATCTCATATAGCTATATGTATCAGATATCAGAATGTGAGTTCTTATTATTGTAATTCTCACCAATTTGCATTATTCACATTAATAAAAACCTCGCAATAAATTCTGAATTTACAGTATATGGTTTTTTTTTATGATATTTATTAGGTATAAAAGCTCCAGGTCAAATATTTAATAAATGGGATGTGAGAAAAATAGAAACCGATTCAGCCAAGGGGAAGAAGGCAGATAAACAGGTGTCTGAGACAACACAAAAAATAATGCAAGCTGCTGCTCTCAATAAAGAAGGTAAGAATAGTATTTTTTTTTTAAATGTTCTTAATAGTTACAACAGCAGTGTGAGATTTGTAGATCTTGTTTGAAAAAAAATCATGTCTCTTGTTTTAAATTTCTGTTTTTGATGAAATTTAATACAAAACTTGCAGCTGGTTTTCTTGTGAAAGTATACATCTTATGAATATTTGCCAGATATAGTTTTGTAAATAGTTATAAAATGTGATATAATTGGATAGGAATGTTTCTTTGTGTGCAATATCATTATTCACTTAAAATATGCTAGTGTTACTGTAATGTTATAGTCCTCTCTAGCAGATGTGTCCATCAGGCAAGAGAGAGTAGTGCATTCACTTATTGACAAAGTCTATAGCATCTGTTAGCTTTTTCAAATTTTTTTCTGCTTTGAAAATGCTTTGACTGTAAGATTGTAATTTTGATCATACTTGCCACAAAATTTGTTTAAACTCTAAAGAAGCTCAAAACACGACTTATTGTTTGGTCATGTGTCTATCATTGAAGGTCATGGGGACCTATTGAAGATTCAGTTTCAAAATTAAAGTGGGAACACAATTATCCTATGGAGTACTTTAGTTTAAGGATTTGTGTCAGAACATCTATGTCCACCAGACATTAAGACTTCTGTAATAATAGATGTTAAAACTGTTATTGCATTCATTTACTACCATACTTTGAAAAGGGGGAGAGCTGAGGTGTGCACAAAAAATTAATTTTACCATGAAGCATATAAATGTGGCTATTGGAAGTCAGGAGTTTTAATAGTGGTTGCCTTATTTTATATTTTTTGTGTGTTTTGTTGTTTAGGTTTGTTTATTTTTGTCTTTTTGTGTTTAGTAGTTTGAGATATTTTTTCTAAATAATTTTATATTATCATCTAAACAATTTGGTATTGAAAGCAGACATTTGGTATTCTCTTTAAAGGTAATCTAATCACAAGACAGTTGTGAAAAAAACTATTTTGTGCACTTTGTTTGTTACTGTTTTCTATCATATTTGAAATATTCTTAAGATTTCAACAGTGCATTTTTTTTATTTTACTTATTACTGGTTACTATAGAAATCAAATAAAAATTAATTGTTTCTAGGTTGATAAGATTCATTTTGATTGTGCCTGCGAAATTTATTTCGCGAAAGCGAGACATAGCGATCATAGATTCCGTCGTCGGCGTCGTCAACATTTAGGTTCAGTCTGTGGTTAAAGTTTCTTTTGACATCAATAACTTTGTCAAACCTTCATGGAATTTTATGAAATTGGGACAGAAGCTTGTTTATGACAGAAAGACAGTATCCAGAGCAAAATTTTGGAAATATTTATTTTCATTTTTCTGATTTTTACTGATAAATGGACTTAGTTTTTTACTGTTAACACTCAGGCTCAGTCTGAGGTTAAAGTTTTTCAGTCATCAATAACTTTGTCAAAGCTTCATGGAAATTTATGAAATTTGGTCAGAAGCTTGTTTAAGACCAAAATATAGTATCCAGAGCAAAATTTGTGAAATATTTATTTTCATTTTCCTTATTTTACTGATAAATAGCCTTAGTTTTTTTCACAGTTAACAACTAGATACAGTCTGGGGTTAAAGTTTGTTACACATCAATTACTCTGTCAAACCTTCATAGAGTCTAATGAAACTTTGGCAGTAGCTTTTTAATGATTAAGAGATAATGTCTGAAGCAAACCTTTGAAAATATATTATTTTTTCATTTTTAGTATTTTTCTGATGGATGAACTTCATTTTTTACAGTTAACATTTTTAGACAGTCTGGAATTAAATTTTTTTTACATGATAAATTTGTAAATATGAAACTTGGACAGAAGCTCATCTTTAAGACCAAGAAATAGCATCTAAAGAAAAAGTTTTATTTTTTTTTTAAATTCTGTATTTTACTGATAAATGGACTCACTTTTTAAGTCAACATTACACTTTAACACTGACAGCGGCAATTGCAGGCGAGACACAGGGTTCCACGGAACCCCTTATGAATTTTTTCATATAATAATGTAATTGGTCATGAGAAATTCAGTTCTTAAAAATCTAGCTTTTAAGTAAAAGATTTTAGCTTAATTTGCAACTGTTCATTTTTAACCCAGAAACAGTTAATTTCTAAACAATAAAATGTAAAAATAGTAAAAAAAATTATAGTAGCAGAACTATTTTTATGTATTTTAGTTTATGTATGCATAAATAGAGATATATTGTATGTTTTATTTTAAATATTTTCCCCATTACAGGATCACTATCAGGTATAAATGTTGATGTTTGAAGCCTGTGTTCCACAGAATATGTTCAGTGTTTTCATATCACTTTATCATCCCATTGTCAATATTGTGTCATTAATGTCTTGCATGAACATCAACACTATGCTTTATTATGTATTACAGGGGCATCATAAAGCACCTTTTTGTTTGATTGAACCCTCTTAATTTCATTCATTGTTTTATCTTTATTGAACATGTATAATAATCAAACCATCCCTCTTTTAACTTGCAGTTTTTCATAATATTAATGCATGCAGTTATATTTTTGATTTTTAAAAACTTTTATATGTTTTTTTATGTTGTTTTTTTATGTCTTTTTATGTCTTCCAAGCAAAAAGTCTTTTAAGGTGAGACAAAGTTTTTTTAAGATGCGACAAGTTGTTATTTTTACACAGTCAACAAACATGAGACCATGCCCTCTCAATCATTCTTAAGTGACTTGAAAATTTCACACTGTTGATATATGGAATCTATTTAAGGAAAATATTTTGTATGAGCCAGTGGTATTTCCCACCAAGTTGCAAATATAATAGTACAACTGTAGTCACGAATCTGATCTAAGATAAGAAATTAAACTCATCACTCCTCAGTAATGTGATCATGACTGAATTTTTATACATAGTTTAAATGTACTCTTATTTAAAAAAAAAGTATTGATGTAGGTAGGACATTGCATTGAAGTACATGCAACTTAGTTTTAAGGTACATTTACCTATGAGATCATGTCCCATCTGTCCCAATATTAAGACCTCATTAAAAAAACTCTTAGAATAGGCTTATTTGATATATTTTTAATACTGTATGGACATACATCTATTTCAGTTTCAATTAAACAGGCTACAACCAAACATTTGTACAGCAAAATAAATGATTTATTGCAATTGGTTCTTACTATCTAGTGGCAAATGTTTCATACATATTTCAGATGAAAGCGTATAATTATAAATGTTACTGGAGTTTACCCTGCTTTGCACTAGAATGACAGACTGAATTAGACTTTTCTTATGTTGGCTGACAAAGCAACAGTCCACAGCAAAACATGCCTATCCAGACATAATTTTAACTCTTAGAATACGGTACCAGTGTTTGTTACAACTCCTAAATGCTGCATGCTTAGTGGAGAAGCAGTAAATACCAATCTTATAGTCTTTGGTTATACAGGCCATGCATCAAACCCACAACCAAAACCTAATTCGTGTGGTTTGTTTGTTATTACCTTTGTGACATATTGTTAAAACATATTTCTATGTAAATATTTATATTGCTATGTATGTTGTTTCACTCATGTTTATATATTCATACAGCTTACTACCGGTAGAAGGAAGTCTTTGTGAATTTTAGGGGTTTTAATGTTAATTGTCAGACTGTTGCTTTCTTATAACAAAATTAAAGTACTGAAGCAATAGTATCTACAAAACATCTACATATTGTTTGATCATGGAATGTAATAGTAAGGTACCCGGTATTTGAGAATAGGAGAGTTGACTGTGAATTTTATAAAACCATTCTAAAAAAATGCTTATAGAAGCTCAGAAAATATGAAATTATATTGCAATTGCATAAAAAATGAAATTTTAGTGTTTCATGACAATACACATTCTGCAGCTAATATGCACAGCACAGCTTATGAATGTACTAATTTTATGTAGCAGAAGCTTATAATTATTCTTGGGAGTGCATAAAACAATTTGATATCATTATAAATCATATATATAGTTAAATCTATCACCTGTACAATATACATCAGATTTTGATTGAATATTTATTCATTTTTAAATGGTGTCTTGTCATCTTGTTCCAGTAAGTGCTAGTCTGGATATGGAATCCTTCCACAAAGTAATTGACAACCTTGGTTCTGGTGCACAAGGCAGTGTATCCTCTGCTAGACAGACACCTCAAGGAGCCTCAAGGGAGATAACCAAGATGACAAACTTCAGTCTGCCAACCAATGGTACAGCTACCTCCCAACAAGGGATGTATAACACCTTCTCTAGGACAAGTCCTTCAAGACTGGCTACATGTGGATCAACAGTAAGAAGAAAATTTGCTCAACAGGTAGATACAATGCTAGGCCAGTTTAGATTTTTATTATTATATGTATATGCATGTATATTTACTTAATTTTATGATTGCAGCTTATTTTTAATTGTAGACATAAACAAATTTTCTTAGAAGTGTTGGTTAATTGCTTTCATATACACAGTAACCTAATAATGTGAGTTATGTATAAAGCTTCACATGATTTTTCACAAAAAACATATGCACCTCTTTTAGTATATAGTTTACAATCAGAAGTTAATTTAAAGTTAACCTGAGGACTGACTACCTTTGACACTCACCTCAGCCTTTTACATTGAGTAAGTGCAAAATGTAAGTTCATTTCTCAGGTATTTTTAGTACCCTGAATTATAGAACTTTGTATTATATCATAATGTATCTAGGTTAGTATGAAAGCTCCATTAAAAGTACCTACATTTTTTCGTTGTTTCCCAATATATATTTGACCTTCATTTTTATGCATTACTGATTGATGAAGTTACCTTTTTAGTTCAGATAATTAAGTGACTTCCAGTTGCATAATTAATGTAAAAAAAACATCTTGGGGAAAATGCCGGCCTTCTATTCTTGCATCATTGGTGTAAATTAAGTTTTACTTCTGAGCTATAATGTACATACTAGGAAACTTAAAATGATAAACAACTATATGCTTTCAATAAAGTAGCTTACCTTAGCCCACAATTATGTTACATCTTATTCTCCATTACTTTCTATCCATTATTTATGAAACTGAATATTTTGATGGAGATATTTAGAAGTATCAGATTATAGCAATTAATTGACGTTCTTGATTTCATTCAGCACAAAATATACCACTGTCTATGGCACAAAAGTTTACTGAATCCCTTCCCCCATATGTGGTTGTGCAATATTATATTTATTTTTTATCATAGAATTTTAATGTTTCTGTAACCAATTTTATTAGGAAGTTTGTCAACACAAAATTTCCTACAGTTTTCATTTGAATAAAATGAAACTTGACCTTGCATCATATGAAGTTGTACACTTAAATTTCATTTCTAGAGCAGAATGTTTTTTACAGTTTGCTATAGAAGCCTTTCTACATATGGGAGGGAAAAAAATTTACAGCAAACTTTTAAAGCCAATTTCACCCCAGAATGCATTTTTTCCAAAACAAGTCAAGAAAGTAACTCCCATTTTGTAAAATTAAGCTTAGATATATATACTATGGATGCCTCATAATACAGTTTAGACTTTCCACTATATGATTGACATGTATGATGACAATTTTCTGCAGATAGAAGCCTATCTTAATGATACAAGCACAGAGGTATTTGAAATACATATTCAAAGTAGATTTTTATATAACCAGGATATTAAGTTTATAAAGTAGATTTTTATATAACCAGGATATTAAGTTTATAAAGTAGATTTGTATATAACCAGGATATTAAGTTTATATTGTAGATTTCATCATACACCAAACATATCATTTTAATTTCTCCCATCATCCTTCTCTTATGGTTGTGGCCTGTTATCTATTTTCTGCATGAAGAGATATTTGTCTTACCTCACTGATCTTATTTTCAAAAACTAAAATTCATGTTAACCAATAAGCCAGAAAAATGGAAAGAATGCATTGTTCTTATGCTTGTCCTTAACTCTTCTTTAGTTTCATACTATTCTTTTTTCATGTTTCCTTTAATAAAATGAGACTTAAGTCATCACTTTGTGGATGCACATATCCATTCTTTCCTTTTCATTTTCACTTTTAAAGCATTTCTGCTAAAACTTAAACACTTTTTCTTTAATTCGTATATGGATTTATTCTATCTTCTACATTGCCACCCCAAGGGTGACTGGGGAATAGAAATATGGTCAACATTGGTCTTCCTCCAACCAGCATTAGAACCCTCACCAAAGTGGGGTGTCCGTTAGGCTGTGTGGGATGTACAAGTTCGCAGCCTCGTCCGGTCAAAATGGGGACGTTAAATCGATGCCTAGTGTAAAGAGAGTGCCACACTCTTTGCACGTTAAGAACCCTTGCAACAACTCTTTGAGGAGTCCTTAGGTGGCCTGTTGCAAGGCTAAATTTCTGTCCCTATCCAACATACCTCCATTTTCCTGTGGCAGTCCAAATTTCCCCGACCTTCATCCTCCCTGACAGCCTCTATTACAGGACCTACCTGTTGTTTTTATTGTTAATTTTTTCTCTTCCTTAACATGCATGAAATATCTGCCTGACTCATTTATTTTGTTCACTTTCATTCTGTTTGTCTGATTTTTTAAATATTTTTGTCATGGCCTATAGCTGTCTTTCTCAGTTTTAGGTATTAAAGTACATTGAATTTCATCATATATTTTGGTACATTTGATTTTTATATTTGAGATATACATGTAATTGAATTGAAAAAGTATAGTTTTTTAGGAAATGGTAATAGAAATTAATGGGTATTCAGGACTGGTTGGTAATTTTTTGTTGCTTGCAAGAATTTCGTAGAAATTAAAACAGCAAAGTAGAAAGTGTTATCTAATTATTTCAGACAGTAGAGATGCTAGATATTTTTCATTAAATTTGTAATACCCTGTTCTCTGATCCTACAGAAATTAAGATATCCTTGACTTAATCGTCATGGTTCAGTGACTTGGTATTGGGTTTTTTAATTTGTTTAACTTCTAATGATGCTCAGGTAGGTTCTCCATATTCAGATGTTTAATCAAAAGTTCATTTCAGTCTGACTCATTAATTGACCTTGATCTTATTTCAATTGACATTACAATGAATATTTTGTGTTTACTTTTTGTTATTATGTCAGGTTTTGAATTACAATAGTTATTGGACCTCTATTCATTCATCCATCTTACTCTTAGTACTTCAAGGGTTGACTGGGGTATAGTAATGCAACTACTTGGGCAAATCCCCTCCAGCAGTGAAATCCATTAATAAATTTATTAATAAAAAAACACCTTAAATTAAGTCTCCAGTTAATCCATTTCAATTGATATTTTATTGTTTGTCTTTTTATGTTGTAATGTAACACTACTGTTTCAGGTTAGGGTGGAGGTTGGCACCTGTTAAAACGTTTAAACCTGCTGCATTTGTTTGCACCTGTCTTAAGTCAGGTGCCTGTTGTTCAGTGGTTGTCGTTTGTTGATGTGGTGCATAAGTGTTTCTCGTTTCTGATTTTTTATATAGATTAGACCGTTAGTTTTCCTGCTTGAATTGTTTTACACTAGTCATTTTGTAGTCCTTCATAGCTTGCTGTTCGGTGTGAGCCAAGGCTCCGTGTTGAAGGCTGTACTTTGACCTATAATTGTTTATTTTTTACACATTGTGACTTGGATAGAGAGTTGTCTCATTGGCACTCATACCACATCTTTTTATTTCTATTGCCCTGTTGCAGTGAGGCTGTTGGAAGGAGGAAGTTAAATGCTGAGACATGTATGAGGAAACGGTTACATTATATGGATGTAGAGAAAACTCCCACAACTCTTTCTAGAAGCAGTTCTTGCTTTGGAAAAGTAACCGATTTGATTTATTTTTAATTTTTTCTCATGCTGAGTATGCATGATTACATGAAATATTTGCCACTGGACATTTAGTAAGCAAAAATCTACCAGTCAATCATTGATGTTAGTCTACATGCTATTGTATTGATTGTAAGGTACTGGCATGCTATGTTACCTTTACCTATGATAAAGCAGATTGTTTTTACGACTAAATTATTGTCATGGTAAAACATTTCTGAGTATACCTGCATCTTATTAGTCATTCCTGTTTGATAATGTTTTATGTAAGACAGCTTAGAAGATTTTATTTGGTATTTGCTTCTATATCGGTAGTAAACTTCTTGATATTTCATAAACCAATTCAAATAAGTCAGCATATCTTTAATAGTTAGCTTTCTCACTGGAACAATGTAAGTTTACCCTCTAAATGTCCTCTAAACTTTTAAAGAATACCAGACAGCTTATAAGTTTAAAATTATGAGTGTCGCACATGTATAAAAGTTAAGAGTTTTTTCATAGTTTTAAAAAATGCTTAAACTCTGATGTATATAATATATAATCAGAATGTTTATTTTATTATAATTACCCTTTATTATTTATATTTTCAGTCTCATCAAATAGGACCTGGTCCAGAGTATGAGAGAGTTATGTTTAATGTCCAGGGTAGAAGTCCTCTCATCTCACATTATTTACATATGAGACAGTTGAGAGATTTCCATCAACCTGGCAAGAAAATTAGAAGAACAGAAATATCTGCCTTGCCATATCCTTTTACATATATAAATTCATTATTTCTATTTTCTTAAATTTTGCTTTGAACTTTTTTTTTGTGATACCTTTTATTATTACATTGGTTGCTTAGTTGTGATTAATTGTGATTTCTAGTGAAATAAAAACCGATAATTTCACATGTTAGATAAATCTGATAATGTTGTGAAGACATTTTGGTTGACGTTGCATCAATATAATTGAGGGATAACTTTGTTTTTCCTTAACTTCTTACTCCAGAAGGGCCAACATATAGACAGCTGATACAGAAATCTATAGCTATGTCTGAAGCTATTCAAAGAGAATATCAGAAGTAAGTAGGATATAGATATGTAGGGTAGTTTTGATAAGATAACAATAGAATTGAATCGTATCACGCTGCCATGATAGATAATTGATACAGTAGTTGAACTTCTTAGACCACTCAGCCATGATAGATATCATTGGCCATATAGAGCATAATCATATAATTAAAATTTGGTCACAATTTATACAAGTTTAAATCTTGAAGTTCAATATATAGTTTGGAATTCACTTTCTTTACATAGTTATCTTTAAACAAGTGTTAGATTATAAAATTTTACTACTTTCATGTGTTAGGGTACATGTTTATTGTGTAAACTCTTTTGAATAAGCTAGGTCTGTAAGTCAAAGATGCATAAAAGTTTCAAGTATAAAGACATTTTTGTCTTGCCTGCAACGAAAGTGATGCTAATCTGGCATCTGCAGCTTTAACTATATATCAGAAGGCAGAAGACCTGGATTTTTCATATCTTGTATACAGATGCCTTATGTTAAGAAATTTACATCTGTCATTTGTATATTGTCCTTGACCTCATTTCATGGTTCAGTGAGTGCTTTAAAAACTATAGTTTTTGTCTTGCCTGCCTGCAACGAAAGTCGTGAAAGGGGAGAAATAGGTGTTGCTTCTCCGGCGATGTTGGCGTCAACAATTGTTAAGTTTATTGATTAAGCTAGGTTGATAGGAACTACTTGCGACAGATCAATGATATTTTGTATGAGGTTGCATTACTATCAGTACATATCAGTTTGACGACTTTTTTGATACCCTGCACCCTATGTCATGGTACAGTGATCTTGACCTGAATTAATCAGCAATTTTCAATATTAAGTTTACTCTGCGCCTATGTCATGGTCCAGCAGCTTTCAATTAAAAAGCAATTTTCAATGTTAAGTTTTCTGCTGAAGTTAGTTTTATAGAAACTACATGTGATAGATCAGTGATATTTTCTATAAAGTTGCATTACTTATACTATCAGTACATATCAGTTTGACGACTATTTCAAGGCCCTGCCCCCATAGGTCATTGTCCAGTGACTTTGAATTAATTAGCAATGTTGCTGTCCATCAGATTTTCTTTTTCTGAATTTTAGGCAGACAGGCAAGGCATATCTCTGTGTCAACATTTTATTTTGTCATCTGAATTTCTCACTTATTATGAGGAAAAAGAAAAAATTATATTTGGTATATGGGATCCTTGCAAGGTCTACTTGTCCCTCAGACAGGGTTCTATTGACCTTGACCTTGATTCGTGGAACAGTGATCAAAATATTTAAATATTTTGCAGTCAAAACGTATCTAAGATACTACAAACAATAGGTCAACTATATTTGGTGTATGGAATGATTGTAAGGTGTACATGTCTATTAGTCAGGTTTAGTTAACCTTGATCTCATTTCCATGGTACATTGGTCAATGTTTAGTTTTGTGATTATGTCTGTTTTTCAGACACTTTAAGCAAAGTATGTCAACTATATTTGACTATGTCAACTATATTTGACTTGTGGAAAGAATTTTAGGTGTACCTAAAAAAAAATTCAATATACAATGTTCAATGAATGAGGAGTGTAAAAAAACGTCAAGCCCTAAAATCATAAGGAGTCTAAACAGAATAGGAATGAATTCAACAAAGAATTATCAACAATTTAAACTGAACACCAAATTCATAAATTGCGTAATTAGATGGTGAACAAATAATTAAGAAACAACAACCAATGTATTTGTTGTACCCTTATTGTAGCCAACAAATATTATCTCTGTGAAACTGAAATCAATACCTGTCAGATCTATAGAAGTTTTATAGACCGTTAGACATTTCACTCTTCAGTATGTTTAAACATTCATTTGATGTGTTTGAGCTTTTCATTTTGCCATTTGTTAAGGGACTTTCCGTTTTGAATTTTCCTTGGAATTTGGTATTTTTGTTATTTTACTTTTTATTTTTAAATCTGTTAATATGATTAATGCAATTCTAAACAGGTATAGACTTGTCATTTAAAACTACATTGCAATTAGACATAACCACATGTCACCTACAATTTTTACTTTATATTTCCTATAAAAACACATTTAAGAAGGTGTTAATTGTTAGTTGTTGGGTTTATACAAACCAGATGTTGAAAGACGCAATACTGTCTGAAGTTTAAATGTTAATTTGGTATTAATTTATAATTCAGTTGTTTTGCCCTGATGTTAACATGTATGATAATTATTTTGGGTGTAATTAAGTTGACATATGTTCAATAACTCCCAAATATGGCCATTTTTTCTAGCTAAGTTTTCAAATTAGTGATTGACTATTTTCACAATGAATCATAGTTAAAACAATGACTAGAAAGAACATTTGTTTTTTTGTGATAGTTAGAGTAGCTGCGTTCCTTTTAATGACATGACAATGCATACATTTCCTTTTTTTAACAGAATAACAAAAACAGGCCAATTTTAATTTGTTTTCTGGACCAGAATTATATAGGGCATGTGTCACTCAAAAAGATCTTGTTAGATCATGTTTGTTAAAATAGATTACATATCTGACTTGATTATTCAATTTGTAGAACCCTCACTAACACTCTATGTTTCCTAGGCCTAAATTCTGTTGAAATCCAGGAGATTTTGTCAACTTTCAATAAAATCTCCATTGATTTTTTTGTGATATAAATGTGAACATTTCATTAGCAAAGCTCTACAATAATTGTTTTTTCTCACTTTTCAAATGTTTATTCATCAGCTTGAAACACTTTTTGTCTTGAAATGATAGACTTAAAACACCTACTGTTTTCTATGAAAAAAAAAGTACTTGTGGTTACATCTTCAGAAAATAAAAACACTTTGCAAAGAAATTCTAACTTAATAAACTTTAAACGCTTCTAGTAGTATTAAGTTTACATTAACCTGACCAGACAATGATATTTTTGAGAAAACATGCAGTTTATTATCAAATCTATTATGAAAAATTGCAAGTGACAAATATTTATGTGCATGCACTGTAGTTTTTACAATGGATAAAACTTGGAAAGTTAATTTTTATGCCCCTGCCATAGGGGATGGGGACATATAGTGTTACCCTTGACCTTTCCGTCTCTCCGTCCGTTTGTCCCATTTTCGTTTATTTGAAGCTTGAGCAAGGGCATTCATATTCTCAGACACATTCTTCTTTTATTTTTAAGTTAGTCTGTTGAAATAAATTTGAGGGGGGGTCGGAGGGGTCCTGATCCCGAAATCCCGGGCTTTAAAACATGAAATCCTGAGATCCCGAATTTAAAGAAATTTAAATCCCGACATCTCGAAATTCGAAAAAAGAATTCCCAGATCCCGAAAGGATCAATCCCGAAATCCCGAGCTAAAAAACACCCGGTCCAGGAGTCCCGATAAAGGTCCGACCCCCCCTCATATTTATTACTTAATTTAAATTGTGGTATTTTATTTTTACAGAATATGTGAAGAAACAGACCAAGAAATTTTTGAACTGAAGAGAAGACAGAGAGAATCCAATATAGAGTTTAACAAATTATCTAAAGAGCTAATGATGACTAAAAATCCTCTCGATCTTAAAATTCTTAGTGATAAAATATTAGAATTATATGTAAGTACTATGTATAAAACTATACAAATTCAACATATTCCTAGGGCTTTCTTCCTTTTAAGAATAAATGATTCAATTTGAGCATCCAGATGATTCTTTTATTATCTAATTTTTAAAGATATAGTATTAAATTATTTTTGATTTTATTAACTATGTTATTTTTTGTTTCTAAGGTTAATATTACTTATCATTCAATTTATATTCATCTTTTATGAGCTCCCTAAAAAAAATTCCGGAATCTAAAGTTTATACTTGAGATTATTGTACGATATTCTGTAATTATTCAACTAGACAATTTAATGGATTATTCCTCTGTATTTCAATATCTGGTGTAAGTTATATTGCAGGATACATTAGTCAAATCATATTTCACAAACCAAATATTAGTTTTTGTTAAAGGTGACCGGAAAAAGCACCATCACATCATGCTATATACACCCTATGAATTTAAGAATTGATTTCCACAACGTTTTCAGATTTCATTGTTAAATTATCATTATCACAGGATAAGTACCATTCACCAAGTCATTGCTTGATTATTCTTGTTTTTTGGGGGGATTATGGGAGACAACTCTGCAGATTATTGCAATTTAAGGGGTACCCAACACTTTGACTAAAATAGATTTGGCTCTTTTAATTTTCATAAAATTTTGACAAAATATTTACTTTGACCTGTTGACAAAAATATAAAAATTTCAAGAAATTTGAACCACACAATTTATAGGAATAATTTCGTTGGATAGATAGCAGTTTGACAAACACTAATTTTGATCATATAGAAGCTTGATGTCTCATTACTGATAGTATGTGTTTTAAACGTTCAGCTGATTTTTAAAGAGTTAATTCCCTTAGGTGTTCTGCACCCCCTTAAAAGAAATCTCTGTTAGTATAATAACATGTGAAAATGTTGTATGTTATAAGAATGAATGGACAAGAATCCCATAAAATATTTTGTAAAAAACCTTGGTAAATAACCTTTGTATTACACTGCTTAAACAAATGTTATAGTATTTTGTCAGACAAGCAACTGTGCATATATGTACTTTTATTGAAACTGTGTAGTAATGACTTAATTGTTTTTTAGCATGTTGACCTTTAAACTTTTTGACAATATATTAATTGGTTTTTTTTATGAAAATACGCTGAAATATCATAGTTTCAAAACTATTGTTTGTAGATTAAAACTAGCTAGGCTTAAAATTTAAAATTAGTTAATATAAGAAGATTTGAAGAGATGGTTAATTGAGGGCTAAAACTTCATGCATTGATTGCACTTTGTACTTAGATTTTTCCAGTTATTTATTACGTTTAACAAAAGTTGTCTCCCTTCGACTATGTAAGCTAGATATAATGATAGTAAATGTTTATGTTTGTTTTATAAGAGTGATTTTCCTGATATCAAAGATAATGATCAATTGGTGTATAAGGTATGGAGTTTCACATACAGTTATAGTAATGGGTATCAATTCAGTGACCTTTATAAACCACTGTTAATAATATAGTATATTAACATAATATGGTCATATATTTTTCACAAATTTCATAAACTTATCTGAGTCTTTCATAAAAATCATTTTAAAAGGTTCACTTAGGCGAGTTGATTTTTGAGCTAAGTTCCTTTTGGGAAATAATAAATTCCAATGGAAGCTATAATAGTTCGAGGTCTGGTTTATTGAGATTAGTGAAACCTGTTAATAGTTAGATTTTTAGTTGACAGATCTTAATTCACACTAGTACAACCTTTTGACAGAATTAATTTCATTAAAATTCAAAATCATACATTTTTCTTCTGTTTGTAGTTTAAGATATGTCTGATAAGATTATGAAATTTGTATTTTTATAAATTCCTCTGCATTGAAAATACATGGCATTTAGTTTTTAGTAGTACTACAACCTATTTATACTAAAAGTATATCATTGTAGATGAATTATATATAGGCTAGTCAACATAGACTCTGTCTTACCTAGAAAATCTCTGCTGTCTGTATGCATTGCTTCATTTTATCCATTATCATTTAACATCAGGAAAGGGAGAGAACTTTGGACAGGGCTTTCATTAAATACTGGAGTGGAAATATTGTTGTCCTAACTAACTAATTTTACAATGGTACTGGTAACTACTTTCAAAACTGAATTAAGTAAAAAAAAAATTTGATTATAATATACAATATATCCAATTATGTTTTAAAATAAACTTTTTAATTAGTTTAAAAAAATAAGCAAAATGAATATTTATAATTATCTCCCTTATTTATTTATATTTTTTTTCTTGACACTCAAAATCATGTAAGAAAGAAATTTGTACCTTTGATTTATTGAGGAAGACAAATTGAATCACTCTTCATGTAAATTGAATTGTTCAATGTACTTCTATAATTTATACATTGTTACTGCAAATCAACAAACATTTTCAACATCAGATTTTATAATTTCGATTTAGGGTGTGATTGTTGTTATCATTTTTAGGTACCTTGAAAAGTTTCATGGTACAGTAAATTACTGTCTATTTCATTTTCCGATTTAATATCATGTATCATGACTTTTTTTTCATTATCATTTTTTAATCTATTAGAATCTAACAACCACATTTTTCCTTTATATCTTTTATACGATCTCAACACGTTTTCTTATGTGTATAAACTTGCTATGACTATTTTTTACAGCATGAACAATCATCTTCTAAGCTGGCTCAGAGGAAACAGAGAGTAAATCCACTGTTTTGTTATTCTTTCTAACGTTCCATCCTTTAATATTTGTGCATGCCTTCCATTATCGTGTTCAGCCATATTTGATATCCTTGTTCTTCAACTGTTTCCATTGAATAGAACTACATTTTTAAATAACCTCTAAATGTATAGCTGATAAGATATCCTGGGTCTATACAGCTAGATAAAACTTACTTAGTCTAGATATTGCCTATCGCCGGTTATTTGCAAGTACTTTTGCTAGATGGAAAGTAAGATATTTTGTAAAACCTTTGCTTATTTTAGTATGTTTCTCAGAAGAAGATGATGGAAAACCCTTTTAGATTTAATGCATCTTCCATCAACAAAATTTTAGGGTTGAGAAATAGGTAATCTATTGTGTTCATATATCAATAGTACAATTTACTTACATACAAAAAAAATCAATTAGTAACAATTTTATCACTATCACTAGAAATTCAATGCAAGTAATAATTGTCCTAACCTACAAATTCCAACTTTCATAGCTTTGGTTAAGTTTAGCCATTTGTTATAAATCCTTAATAATATATGAGTGATTTTTCTCCTGGCTATGAACCTCTTATCTGGTAAAACAAAGTCCAAAATATTTAGGTTGCTGTGATCTATACTTTCTGTCTGATTGACTTCACTGAAAATGTCAATGAGAAATGCATAGTGATAGTTTTCTGTTACTTTGCTGCCAAACTAATTTTCTAGCAGTTAAGACATTTTATTGTGTCAACTATTTATATAGCTACTTCTTATATTACTCTTCCTCCACCAATTATAACTGGCCACCATGGTATAGCCAAGGTTGCTGAAAGTTGTGTTAAACAACAACAAACAAGCAAGCAAAATAAAACACAGTACAAAACAGTTTCATTGCAATTGAGTAAATAGCATAGCCTTCATTGAAAGGCCTTGGTATTTGTACAGAAATTCACCTTAATTATTGCTATTTCAGGCAATGAATCAAAATTAAAATGCAAGTTTTTATTATTGCAATATTATTGCCTGCCTCCGGTGCAAGATTTTCTTGCTGTATTGAAGAAACATTGGTGGCCTTGGGCAGTTTTCTGCTCTTTGGTTAGGTTGTTGTCTCTTTGACGCATTCCCTGTTTCCATTCTCAATTTTATTTATTATTGCAAAACCTACCCTTTTATTTATTATTGCAAAATCTATCCTGTAGCAATTTCTGCAATAATAAAAACATCTGGCTTTACAGTTATATGTTGATATTTTACCATTATTTTGGAGAACATTTTGATAATCATAATGTTTTACACAAGACCCACTCATTTGAAATTTTGTTTCCAGTTGCAAGTGGTATCTTTTTCCAGATTTACCATTATGGTTTAACTACCAAATTTTCATTTGACATTTAGTACAGGTTAAGTATATATTGGGAGAAGGACTGGGTAATATCTATAAGTCCTGCTCATATTACTTTTGTCCCTATAATTTCTTATTCCTGGTAAGGTTTCAATGCATTAAAGATCAATGCTTTGTTTAATTATCTATAACATTCACATGTGTGGCTTAAACTATCCACACAAACACATGGTAAAGTTGCATGATCTATTATGGTGTGTTGCACATATATATTTAGATCTCAATAAATATACATTTGCATGTTCACATATTATATTAACTTAATATATATATATATTTATATATGTAAATCATTATTTGACACTTATAATAAAAATATATAGTGTATGAGCCTTTTATCATATGACTTGTTTGAGGAAGGAATATTCAATCAAACAAATAAAACAGTGCTAAAAAAAATGTGGTATTAGACAGTTGTAATTATTATTCAGTTTGTGTTTTAGTGTTAAGGTTATAGAACTATATTTGAACTTATTATTAGCAAGATACTAAAAATAGACATACTCTCATATGTTAAATTTGCATGTTATAAAAGCTTAAACATATCACTAAAGTTAGTAATTCTTTATAGCTAAATATGATTTATCACAATTACAACAGTAAACTATTGCATACACAATGGCATTTTTGCATGAGTAGGCTGTAATCTTAAGAGGACTGTAGAATATTAGTAAGGCTCTCTGCTGCTTAGAACTGTGAACAAAGTATAAAGTGAATTCTACATTTGTAAAACATGATATGTTTATTTATAGGAAAAAGAAAGAGATGCCATACTGCTAGATACAGATACTGATCCTGCCCAAAGTGTTGCCGGAGCTGATGAGGAAGATACCTGATGTTACAATAAATGCAATCAATTTAATATGAAAATTTATGTTAAAATTGTCATGGTAATGGACTACCTTTATGACCCTATTGGTAATGGACTACCTATATGACCCTATTGGTAATGGACTACCTATATGACCCTATTGGTAATGGACTACCTATATGACCCTATTGGTAATGAACTACCTATATGACCCTATTGGTAATGGACTACCTATATGACCCTATTGGTAATGGACTACCTATATGACCTATTGGTAATGGACTACCTATATGACCCTATTGGTAATGGACTACCTTTATGACCCTATATTGGAAGTTTAATCAGTTAGGGAGGGAAGTAATATATTTTTAAATTGTTTTAAAAATACTAAAAAAAATGATTAACTTTCTTAAAACTATCACCAAGAAAGAATTTTGGTGTAAATTATTATGTTTCAGATATTACTTTCCCTTGAAAAATCTTTTTTTATCTCATTTTCGAAATAATTTTATCCAGAATATTTCATACTTGAATAACTAAAGCTTTACTAAATATTTAATGTTGGTTCATGGGCAGGTCCCATTATTTATATGAAGATCTTTGACATACAGTATTAGATTTTTATTTGTTGTTTTATTTTTATGCTGGCATGTAAATTAATTTTCATTATTAAAATAGTAAATTTAAACTTGGGACTTGAATTGTGTAATATGAAGATTATTCTCCTTATGCCTCCTCTATGCTAAAATTCTGTCCAAAATCATAGAAATGAAAGTCATTTTTAAATAAAGATCATTTTGAGGGATTCTTGAAATATCAATATGTTCTTTCAAAAATGTAAAAAAAAAAACATAATATTAAACGGGGAAAATACCTGTAGAAATTTTAAATTTTGGTTCTGTATACCAACATATATGAAAACTACAATGTCTTGTGTAAGGTCATAAAAACAAACTATGTGTAATGAATTCATTAATCAATGTATTAGATGTGGTTTCTGTACACTAAAGTCACACGATATATGCCAATCTTACTTTACATTTACTTTAAAGTTTTAAGGTGACAAATTAATATTATTAAAATGTCAGAACTGGCAGTAAATGTTTTTATATATAATTTCCATGTCCAATTACCACTTTTGCAGTCTGTGATATTTTGTGCTATTTTGTTGTCATATTTTTAATAAAATATTCAATTTCATTCCAAATTTATTTTAATGCATGCACATTTGTACATTGTATTTGTGAATAATAAGCTGTGTCTTTCCAAATAACTGACAAAGCAGCTGATAACGAAAAAAAAAACATACAGTAACTGAACTACAAGCTCCTGACTTGGGACAGGCACATAAAAATTGTGGTGGGGTTAAACATGTTTGTGAGTGCTAACCCTCCTATCCAGGGACAGTGGTTACAGCACAACATAAGAACAAACTATAAAAATCAGTTGAAAATGGCTTAACTCTCAGATCTATACAAAGCAGAAAAACATCTAACAAAAACACAGACCGTACATGGCAGGGTATTTATACATCCCTAACAATAAAAAAGACACAATTTCAAAGTTCAGATCCGAGAGTACTCACAGTTACTGATAGCTAGTTCAAAGCCAATAACTAATAAAAAAAATCATATTTCTAAGACTAATTGTTAGTTTGACATTTTGAAAAAAGAAAAAAGAAACATTTTGGCTTTGGAACTTGTCATATTGTTTGGTTGCCTGTCAATCATTGAACGTTTTATTTTGATCTCTACGGCCAGTAAATGTAATGAAATTATTTTAATCATGCCTAAATGAAGAAACAATCAACTATTTTTGTCAAGCAATTTATTATTTTTTGAGTAATTTTTTTTTTAGATTCTCATTTCAAACGATATATATTATTATATATACACAGAACATTATGCATAGGTTACTTCCTGGTCATAGCTTAAAAAAAAGCACCTAAAAGCTGTTAGTGTTTCACTCCACATGTTACCATACATTAAACATTCTCACTGAATTGCATTTTGTTCCTTCAAATCAACAACTGGTCGGAAATTTAACAAAACTGCTCTGCATATTATATTAATTGCTAATTTTTTCTGGTCCTGAATTTGCATGAAATGTTTGCCAATGAACATAAGACTAACAACAAACAATTAGTTACACTATTCTTTCACCATTTATACTATAAATAAAATAGATGTAATAAAGGGAAGATATAAAGTGACCTTTACTGCAGGATATACCTTTTGTATTAATTGCTAATCTGTTCTAGTCCAGAATTTGCATGAACCACCTGCCATTAAATGTAAGATTAACAACGTAAAACAAACAACCAATAAAATATAATCATTCTTTCAACAATTATACAAAAATAGAACAGATTTCAAAAAGAGTGCACACAGTGGCATGTTCTACGGAACCTTTCTATTGTGTTAATTTCTTATTGTTCTGGTCCTGAATATGCATGAAATATTTGCCACTGAACCTAAGGCAAACAACAACCAGTCAATTATAATATTCTTTCACCTCACCTCACCTATCCTCTTCATGCCGGTCGGCATTTAAGGCCCTGGTACATTTTTTTTCCATTTCACACGGTCTTTAGCAGCTGTTCTTGCTGTAGCCCAGCTGTTCCATCCGAGTGATGTTCTTTCTGTCTCTACAGTCCGTCTCCGGGTGGTTTTGGGACGTCCAACTTTCCTTCTTCCCTCCGGTTTCCATATCAGTGCAACTGAACATATACTGTTGGTATCCATCCTTAGTACATGGCCAATCCATCTCCAGCGCCGTTCTATCATGTCATCACTTAGCTTCTTTGTTCAAGCTCTTATGTGGAGGTTTTCGTTTGATATAGTATTGGGCCATCTTATTTTCAGTATCTGTCTCAGACATCTGTTTTGGAAGGTGTTCAATTTCTTTTTGTCTTGTTCGGTTGTTTTCCAGGTTTCACATCCATACAGTAGGACTCAGAACATTGTTCTATGATGTTTCTCTTTCACCATACTACAAATAGAAAGGATGTAATACAAAGATTACAGTGAACATTCCTGTAGGACCTACCTATTGTATTGATTGCTTATCTATTCTGGTCCTGAATTTGCAAGAAATATTTGCCACTGAACATAAGACTAACAACGAACAATCAATTATAATATTATTTCACCATTTAAAGTATAAATTGAATAGATGTTAACAAATATATATATGTATATATATTTATAAAGTGATGTTTTCTACAGAGCCTAACTATTGTATTAATGCTCATTTGTTCTGGTCCTGCCACTGAACATAAAACAACAACCAATTAATAATGATATTCCTTCACAATTTATTCTATAAGTAGAATGGATGTGAAAAAAAGAATATATACAGTTACCTGTTCTGCAAAACCTACCAATTGTATTGCTTGTTCGTTTGTTATGGTCCAATATTTGCCACTTGACATAAAGCAAACAACACGGAGTATCTGTTAAAATAGTAATAGATGTTAAAAAGAATATATACAGTGATCTATTCTGCAGATTGCTTATTTGTTCTGCTTCTGAGTTTGCAACTGTACGTAAAGCAAACAATAACCAGTCAATTATAATAGCCTTTCACAATATGTATTATAAATGTAATATATGTTTAAAGAAGAAGAGCTAAAGTAACATGTACTGCAGAACCTACCTATTGTATGAATTGCTATTATTTCTTGTACTGAATTTCCATGAAATATTTGCCGCTGAATAGAGAAGAGACAACGAGCAATCAATTATCATATTCTTTCACCATTTTTTAAAAGTAGAAAAGATGTAAATAAGAATTAAGCAGTTACCTGTTCTGTAGAACCTTCCTATTTCGCTCATCTGTTTGGTCCTGAATTTGCAAGAAACCTTTAGCAAACGGCGAAAAATCAATTCTACTATTCTTTCATCATTCATACAACAGATTGAATAGATGTTCCGTGGCCTGTTTTTCAAAACCTTCCTTTTGTATAAATTGTTCATATGTTTTGGTCCTGAATTTGCAACAAATAACAACCAGTCAATTATAATATTCCTTCATTATAATATAAAAAAGATGAATACCGCCTCGGTGGTCTCGTGTATGGTAGCGTGTTCGCCTCGAGTGCGGGAGGTCGTGGGCTCGAACACCGGTCGAATCAAACCAAAGACTTTAACACTAGAATTTGCTGCTTCTCCGCTAGGCACGCCGCATTAAGGAGTAAGAGCAAAGACTGGTCGGCTCGGACTTAAAATAATGTGTTCGGGTAAGGTGACATGTCTTCCTGCGGACTATTACCCTGAACTAGCACGTTAAAAATCCAGCTCAGCGTGTCGGTCCAGTACAAAGCAAACGGTAAATATTCTTATCCCCGGCTTAGTATATTTCTAGGAGTTTGATTGGTTAACGCACGTCGTTACAAAACCCATAGCCCCTGGGTGTTGCTAACCCATATCCCCGGACGTTGCTACCCATTACATCGGGGAATTTCACGCGCGTTTTCCTTAGTTCCATGGTTGTTCCTTATGAAATATCGAATTCTGTAGATTTTCCATGATGTCTATATAATTAAATACGTAATCCACTAACGATTTTATCTTATTACATCGATTATTTGCACTCATTTTAGTAAATGCATCACTATGCAGCCACATTGTCAATGAATGGTACTACTGACCTAGCTTTGCAAATGACCCACGTTGACGTCACACTGTTTATGATGTAACTCTCACAACATTACGCGCCAAATTCGACCCATTTCAGTTTCTCTGTTTCTAGTTTAAAAACGTCTTATATTTGTCTACCTGTAGGGTTCTACCAAAGGTCTTTACCTACACCCCGTTAAAAATATGTCAAATTCCCAGATTTCAATAAAAGATATTTAAAAAATGAAAAAAACGTTGCTTTCACGTTAAACTTTGTGGTCGAATTTCTCTAAAAATCGCAAGATTTAGACTAAGACCGGGGATAAATTCGTTATCTACGTTCATATCCGTAGATATGGATATGAACGTAGATAACTTATAATATTACGTTAACATGTTCTCGTCCTGAATATGCATATTAATTTGCCGCTGGACGTTAAGCAGCCATCCATCATCATCATCGTTATAAAAAGATGAGATGTTTAAAAAAAAATGGAGATAACCAGTAATCTGTTTTGCAGAATCTACCTATTACATAAATTGATTAATTTTTTTTTGTCCTGAATTTGCATTTAATCTTTTGCCACTGAACGTAAGGCAAACAGCGAACAATCAAATAACATAATCTTTCATCATTTAAACAATACAATAGATGTAAATAAGAATAAAACAGTTGCGTGTTCTGCATAATAGGTCACTGTGTATTTTCTTTTTTTATATGCATTGTATTTATAATATAAATACCGGAAGAATATCATAATTGATTGGCTGTTGTTTGCTTTACGTTCAGTGGCAACTATTTCTTGTAAATTAAAGCCTACCAGAACATATGAGGAATTTTTATAATAAGAGTTTCACAGAACCGACCAATTGTATTGATAGATATTTTGTTATGGTCCTGAATATGTATGAAACGTGTGTCACTTAACGCAAAGGAAACAACAACCAGTCAACTGCAGTATTCTTTCAATATTTTTACTATTAAGTGGTTTGTCTACTCCTTTCTTGTCGTCTACCATAATTGTTTTTTCGATAATTGTAAAAGTATCAATCATGACGTTGGTACTGTTCTTTTTTTATAATTGTTTTGAATTTTGTTACCACGGTTACTTTTACAGCAACCCCCCTCTTTGGTCTCGGCTCAGCGTGTCGGTCTAGTTAAACGCAGGGTTCATATTCATATCGCACTAACATGTTCTCGTCTTGAATATGTATTTAATTTGCCACTGGACGTTAAACAGCCATCCATCCTAGTATAGTTTACTATAAGGACTTGTTTTTGTTCAATCTTGAAGGCCGTACGATGACCTGTATTGTTCACATCACAATTTTTTTTGTCTTGATGGATATAGTTGTCTCATTGCCAATAAAGGTGGTCGTGGTCACATCTCCCTATTTGTATATAGTCGTTCATACTGGTAAAATAAGTTGCGAAAAATAGAAAGCGAATTGTAAATGCTTTTTATAAAGTAATTTTGCATTACATTTATTAAATTGTCTGTTTGAAACAAATTCACCACATTCCTCCCGATTTAAGTATGTCTCCTTGTCTACTATTGTCTTAAGTTATTTTTTGTATTTTCCAAAATTTCTTCCCTTTGCAATGTTTACATAAATTTTAAATACCGTTTGTATCCGTGCAGTAAAGGCTTATAATGATAAACGAGTTGGTGGACAACCTTGTCGTACTATCCATCTATTACTATATGTATATGTAAGATATCTTACATAAAGACATGTATATATACATGTAGGTTACTAGGTCAATAAATCTGTAACATATGTTTTTTTTTAGTTTTGTTTGATTTACTGCTTTATTATAATGCATATGTTTTTTTTTTAAAATGGAAGTAAGATAACGCCTAAATTTTACATGTGTTTTAGCTTATCATACATGTATAGCTTACTTAATTCTTATTCTATGTCGGTCACTTTTGTAAGACCTGTTCAACCTTAGACCTACAACAGAGGAAAAATATCTCCACATATCATGTCACGCTATATTTCTGTTACTAATCAATTATTTAATGAACAAAATAAATCATTGTCACTTATGAAAATTAAAGGAAAATGGTTGATTGCCTGCGTTGGTTGATAGCTTTATGGATTTAAAAAGACCAGTTTGAGTGCCGCATTTTCTTATAATTGCTTGCGTTTAACCAAAGACATAAATACGTAGCAGAATATCGTGATATCGCACAGACCTTGAGCTTTAATTGGAATCGAATAAGAATTTAAAATTAGAATTTGAATTTGAACTATCTTAAAAATCACACAAAACAATTGTTCATGTTTTTATCGCACCATAAGTGTTATACTATCAAAATTACAAAAAAAAGTATTAACAGATCTATCTCAACACCAGCATTCTTTCTGTGACTTCATTGACTGATTTGCAATATCTGGAAGCCAATATTCGATTTTTAATGTTCTTAATCTTTATTTTAAAAAATTCCTACGTTTCAAACCATATTTTGAAAAATTCTGAAAATGAGAAAATTAAAAACTAAAGGGATATGTCAGTACGGAAAAGGGTAGTTTTTAATGATATTTTAATAGATAATATGGCCACTATATGGCCTTGCCAATTTCTGATATCAAATGTACTTGCAAAAAATATCTATATTTAGAACAATAAAAACTACCAAAATTTCAAATAGAAAAGCGTTTTGCGGATCATTTAAATTTGATATAATTGTTTATTAACATTTGATGTCATATTAAATTAATGACAAGGACACCTGTTTGCCATTTTGTAAGGAAGTGAGCAGAGAAAAAAAACGTAGTTAGGTGAAAACAAGGGGAATTATAATTGCAATATGATTTGTAAATCATTGTTATATTTTTTCTACAATTTCCTCAAACAACTGACTTTTATCTTTACCATAACTCTTGGATATATCTTGATGTATATACATGTATTTATATCCAAGAGTAATATCAATTTCGCTTTCAGAACAAGCAAATTAAAAATAAAGTATAACAACAGAAACATATAAATATTATAGTCCTTAAAATGATAATTGCAAATTAATATTCTTTTTGTTGACATGTCGAATTTTATACAATGCACCCGAGTTTGGGGTTGGGGTAACTTGCTCAGTAACATTATTTTGTATAACTTACCAAGTTAAGCCCGATAATAAATTTCATCAAACTTGCACTGAAATATGCCTACTACTTACAATAATTTTACATTAATTGCATTAATAAGAATGTGGACTTAACAAGAAAATAAGTGCAATAACAATGGAGAAAACAAGGAAAATGATAATTAAAATTTTAAGTTTAAGAATAAGAAATGCCGAACCCTTACGGAGCATCATCCCCATTTATTGTGGGTTCGTGTTGCTTTTTTTTTACCATGGGAGGGTTGAGCGCTCGCTAACATGTTTATCCCCGCCACATTCTGTATGTGCCTGTCCCAAGTCAGGAGCCTGTAATTCAGTTGTTGTCGTTTGTTGATGTATATCATATTTTTTTTTCGTTCATTATTTTGTACATAAATCAAGCCGTTAGTTTTCTAGTTTGAATTGCTTTACATTTGTCATTTCGGGGCCTTTTATAGCTGACTATGGGTTTTACTCATTGTTGAAGACCGTACGGTGACATATTGTTGTTAGTTTCTGTGTCATTTGGTCTCTTGTGGAGAGTTGTCTCATTGACAATCATACTACATCTTCTTATTTTTATTTCAATTGATTATGATGCTTTACTTAACTTTTTTTATTTCTTTGATTTGCAAAACTCTTAACTTGCCACATAAATGAGACATATCATGACTTTTGACTTGCATAACTATTGGTCTTGGGCGTTTCAGATGTTTATTTCCAAAGATGTGTCATCTGACGTGCAGAATGAAATCTGCCTATATCATTAAAATGTTATCGAATGATATACCACAGTTGCTTTCTCATTGACGTATACCCACATCTCCTTTAATCACAAAACTTAATCTAAAAGAAAGAATGCACATTTCCGGTAGTGAATGAATATTGCTTTGTTAAGATTAAGCCTATTAACCAAGCGAAAATAATCCAATGTCCACCTAAAATTTTAGTGGCCACTGAAAAATTCTGTAAGTTCTGTGGGTGGATTGTTTGGCCGGAAAGCAATTGTATATTGTTTGAGCAATGAAGGCTTGTCCATGGTTAAATTTAGCCACTAACCGACGAGAAGTGCAGTATTGGATATATTCCAGCATCACCCCCGCACGTTGTTTTCTGTTTGTCTCTTAAGACTGTAAGGTTTCTAAAGGGAAATCTTAATTCAATGCAGCTATAGTGTCACTTAGACGTGAGCAAGGAGAAATATATGCCATTATGAATTTTAATGTAGCTTGTTATTGAATTTGACAAAAAATAATAATTTGCACGCACTGCATAATTAGCACACCACAACCTTCCCATTACCTTTGTCCAATGTCCAGGCAAACGTTTGAGCGCCTACTGATGATTCAACTTTTACAATTGAACACATTTTTTTACATTTTTGAATTTGTCTTATGTAATTGTCACGATGAAATAGAAATTTTGATTGGATTTCCCAAGGCAAATCGGAAATGATCAACAATACTGTCTGTGTGTTCACCTGATGTCAGTCTCATGTAATTAATGTCCATCATCGTATGACACACAAGTGAGGTAAATACATATAGATATATAAAACTAGACTGAAATTAGGAGATTTAATAAAGAAACGGATATTTGTCCAAGTACTGTTCTGGTAAGATATGAAAGTTCGAGTTTTCTTCAGCCTTTATGAAATAAATTGTATTGATTGCTACTAGTATATTGATCTGCAAAAAAACTGCGAACAAAAATGTATAAAAAGCTTTCTTCACATAATTATAATTAGAAAAATGTCTAAATTGTCAGGGAAAAGGGGCATCCTTGTAATATTCATCAATCATAAGAAACAGAATTCTATTTTCATTTTAAGTTCTACAAGCATTTTTTTACGGTGTTATCCAACATTATTTTTAGTGTAGCTGTGGTTTTCTCCGCTGTAAAACCGACAGTACATAGAACGCGCTTTTTCTGGATTGGTTTTTATGATGCGTTTTTCAATGTATCATTTAATCTTCTTCCCAGGATGCAGATAATAATTAGGACTTGGAGGTTCGTGTATCACAAAGCTAGTTTTGCCTCATTACATATTATTTGTTCCTTCAAAGTCAGAAGCAACGATTAATAGTTACTGTCGTTGCCCTCTTATGCCTTAATTCATCTAGAACTTTGGTGTTGATGTCAAGTCGTTGGTCGTCCCTGCTATAACGGGTGCATAATGGACAATTTCTGGTATTGGGGAGGTGTCGCAATAACATTTATTCTACATCGGCTTTTATTTAATGAAAAAATAAGGAAACTAGTTCGTTAAAGTTTGATGACAACATAAACTTGCCAGTTACGCGAGATCTATAATGAACATTCACTTTACTATCTGTTTGATAAAACCTTTGTTTGCTTGAATATTCTCTTGGGTTTATTTTATCCTACATATAAAACGGAGCATATTGCTTATCAGAATTTAATTTCATAGACGAAGCGCTTAGCCTGTTGTGAAAAATTACATATGTCTTTCTATTAATATATTTTCTATTATTATCATTTTGCAGGTGAAAGAGGTTAATTTACGTTACTTGAATATTCTCTTTCGTAATTATAAGAATGGATGTAATTTATATGTGTGTTACAATGTTTATACTATTTCTACAAATTATAAAATGTTCAAATGGACAGACAAGAAATTTGTTTTTAAATCGGAATGAACAAAGGGACAGAAGATTTTTCAACTCAAGACAAAGAAATCCAAATAAATTTGCAAGACAATTGACTAATCAAAGAATTAGAAATTCCCAAAATATTCCAACTTTTTTGAATGACCATGTTGCATGGGCATACACAAACAAAGAAACAATTGTTCCAGATATAGTCCCGATACGACAAACAGCACGGAGACCTACGCGAAAACAATACAATCAGAAGGGCAAGGTGTTCGGATATTGTGATATTGGAAATGACGACGACCTGGATGATTTATTTCCAGGATTGTTTCAGTCAGAAACAGAAATCCTTAGTGAAGCTTCAAAAGTTATCAAAAAGGAAAGATGGCATGGCGATGCCATGCGGACTTACAGCCAACCAAAATCTAAAGTCCCACAAATAGTCCCAGAAGTAGTCCCAGAAGTAGTGGAAACAACAACACAGAGATTTGCTCGAACGAATAATAATTCAGAAGTACGTGATCACAAAAGACCGCCACCAGGTCGTAATTCTCAAGTTTGTCAATGTTGTCAAACGTAAGTTTTAACTATATAGATTTTAATGTCCCCACTGATTATTCACAAGATATTGTCAAATAGTTCGTCATTTGCATGTTATATAATCGAGGTTTACCCTCTCGTTTACGTGGATTTCAGAACTTTGAACTATAAATAACTCGGTACTATAAAAGGACAGGAGTTTTGAGTAAAAAAAAAGGCAGGATTAGCAACTTGGCAAAAAAAAAAAAAGGCAGGATGACAATTTATGTAAAAAAAGTCAGGATAAACTAATAAAAAAAAGGCAAATATAAAAGGCAGGACAGAGATTACAACTAAAAAAAAAAATGCAGGACAAAATTTTTCATCCTAGCCAGCCCCCGCCCCCCCCTAAAAATCAAATGGTAGCTCCCTAAATAGTTATAAGAGCTAAAATAGCAAAAGGTAAACATTGGATTTTAAAATGAACAAAATACCATATGTAAAGTTATTGTTGTAGATGCAGAAAATTCCACAATAAGTTATTAAAAGGCAACAATATACCATTTAAAACAAAAAGATTCTCCATCAACCTGTTCGTGACAAAACATTTCAGCAATGAATAACACAAAAATGGATAAATTATCTTAAAATCAACATTACTTATATCAGAAGTCCATTACTAGTATATAAATGTGCTTATATAAATGTGTAGGATTCTAAAGACTTAGAAGATTATTAAATTGACTGGTCTACAGTGACGAAAAAAAAACACTGTTATCGACTATAAAAAAAACCAAGAACAAACTCGTAAATCAAGAAAAACTTAAGGATGTGCTTAGGTAAGGTTTAGGAATTTTTGTCAGATGTTCGGACGTCTTGGTTTTTTTCCTACGATACAGGGTAAAATATTTTGCCTCATAACACCCATTTTTCTTTTCATACAAGACTTCAATACCTCATAAAAGGTCATTTACCAAAATTTAAGCCGATTTTAGATTTCTTTTCTTTCGATTTGAGACCAAAATAATACCAATGCAAATATAAGGTAAAAGTCCGAGTCAGCCTTTTCCCGCCATTTTAAAAAAATTAAATATCTCGAAAAGGAGCTCCATAACCATTAATATTTTTAGCTTATTTTGTTCCTTAACTAATGCTCTTCTGACTTATAGTATCAATTTTAATATTTTGCCCCATAACACCCATTTTTCTTTTCATATAATACTTCAATACCTCATAAAAGGTCATTTACCAAAATTTAAGCAGATTTTAGATTTCTTTTCTTTCGATTTGAGACCCAAATAATACCAATGCAAATATAAGGTAAAAGTCCGAGTCAGCCTTTTCCCTCCATTTTGTAAAAATTAATTATCTCAAAAAGGTGTTGCATAACCTATCAATATTTTTAGCTTATTTTGTTCCTTAACTAATGCTCTTCTGACTTATAGTATCAATTCTAAATTCTAGATTTTTTTTTAATTTCACCTAAGTACATCCTTAAATAAATCTAATCCGGAAAACCCCTGTTTATTTGATACGTGTCGTTTCTGGGTTTTTCTACATATTGATATCATTACTGCATTCCAGATCTGTATTGTGTTAGAAAGCAGATGTTTTGCAGTATCTTTTAAAGGAAAACTTTATCGACTCTGGTCTTCATCAATTGTCAGGATTGATATGTTTATCTGTCTAGGTTAAGGTTTCTAACGTCGGATCAAACACTGACAAGTATGAGTTAAATCAGGGCCTTGGAGACAAGATTTTGTCTCTTATCTATAAGCATGCTGTAAATATTTAACAAGACGAATTCTCTGTTTAGACATGAACCAAAAGAAAAAAAAAATAAAATGTTTCAAACGTTTGAGAAGGATGAAAAAGACATAGAAAAATACGATAATGATAATAATAATAATAATAATATGCTAGCTTATATTTTTTGTTTACCTTTGTAGAATTTCGAGGCATGAAGTATACCAAAACATCACTGTAGATGATACAAATTACAGGGTGATACAATTACCAGGGAAGTTTCAGGCTATTCCAGTTGGACGATGCCCGTACGTAGTATTTACTATTTGATTACTTGGTGTTTTACATATATAATGTTCGTGGGTAGTGTATATGTTTTAATCGATATGATAACAAGAATGTTTCCATAGTTCACGGATGCCCCACTCGCACTATAATTTCTATATTCAGTGGACCGTGAAATTTGGGTCAAAACTCCAATTTGGCACTAAAATTAGAAAGATCATATCATAAGGTATAAGTGTACTAAGTTTCAAGTTGATTGGACTTCAACTTCATCAAAAACTGCCTTGACCAAAAACTTTAACCTGAAGCGGGACAGACAGACGGACGGACGGACGAACTGACGGACGAACGAACCAGAAAACATAATACACCTACTACTATCGTAGGTGGGGCACAAAAAATGTTTCATCGGAACTGTAAATGAATTAAGCCCTATCAGTTTTTGAATGTCAAATTTACTGGGAAAACGCACTCGTTTAGTTCGTATTGTCTTCATCTTTTATGACATTATGTATTAATACATAGAATAGTACGACAGAGACAATCTCTTATTTATATTATAGCGTACAACAAAATAACCATAATGTATCATTACAAAAATGGATTATGTTTTATTCCGTTAAATGATCGTGTGAAACAGCTTCAAAACTTGATACGTAAATGTGAATTTTTAAAAACAAAAAAAAAAGATTTTGACGTCAATGTGATGTTCCGATCAGAACACATGAGGTTACTTGAAACTGTTCTGCGCATTAAAATAACATCATACGTTTTCAACCTTTCCTGTAGTTATACAATATGATGCACACTTACCATTAAAATTTAAAGTTTTAAAATATTAGGAAAAATAACATACTTAAATTTGTCCATGCTGTAAACAATATTCAAACTGTTTAGACAAAAATAAGGAGGAGATGTGTGGTACGATTGTTAGTGAGACAGTCTGACCAGAGACCAAAGGACAAGGATGTAAACTAAATGTATCCGTTCAGCCTTCAACAATGTACAAAACCTATATCGTATAGTAAGCTATAAAAGGCTCAGGCATGACAACATGTACAATAATTTTAAAGAGAAAAGCAACGGTCTGATTTATTCTAGAAACAATAAACTAACAACAATAATGGCATACAGCGACCAACGACAATCACTAAACTAAAGGCTTCTGACTAGGAACAGACACATAAAGAATAATTTGGTATAAGAATGTTAAAAACTACAAATCTGACAGATTTTTAACCGTTCTTTATTTTTCATTTCAGTGAAAGCAACCTTTGTTTGTACGGAGATTGTGTACAGCATTATAGTGTCCATCATGTTTTAATATGGAATAATACAGTACCATACTGGCCACCATTTGATTTCGCTTTAGTTGAATATCCAACACATTGTACATGGGAGAATATTGGACAATAAAAACAATCTGATCAATATTTTGTCTTAATGTATTCTAGTAGTCTTTAAAAAATAACTATATAGAAATAAGGAGATGTGGTATAATTGCCAATGAGAAAACTATTCACCAAAAACCATCGGCCTTTAACAATGAGCAAAACCCATAAAATAAAGAAGGCTATAAAAGCCCAAAGAGGACAAAATTTGAAACAATTAAAGAGAATACGAACGACTGGATTTGTACGTAAACAATGATGACAGACAGAAACCAGCGACACCCACAGGATAACATGCTCCTCACTTGGGCCAGGGATTTTTTTAGAATTTTGAGGGGTTTACCATCTTTGTGAACGCGCAACCCTCCCCTAACCGAAGACAGTGGCTTTGCACAGCAAGAAATAAGGCCATACAGTGCGCTATAATTGTTTACATCCATTTATTTTTTTTATAAACTGTACAAATCAATTGGAAAGGACTTGACACACCGTATTGATGCCAAGCACAAAAACAACTAACAAAAAGACAAAAGACACAAAGTCGAGATTTAAGAGTTCTCGTAATAACTCAATACAATTACAAAACCAAATTCCACTCATTTATAAACCATGTTTTTCCAGACCAAAATATCAATAACTGCACCTGCAATGGATTTAGTATAAAGTCGTTATAAGCAGTTTGAGAAAACAATGTTATTACCAATAAAGTCAATTTCAATAGATAACCTTTAAGAACAAATGAAAGGATCGATAAGTTTAAATTAATTGTACAATTAACAGCACCACGAACATTTTTTATCCCAAGTTTTTTTATAAGGTTTAACATTTGTAGCATGACATTGATAACAAATGTTTCAATTTTATGGTATCGATGGAGTTTATTTACTACCACTGGGTCGATGCCACTGCTAGTGGATGTTTCCTCCCCGAGTGTATCACCAGCCCAGTAGTCATCAGTTTTGTGTTGACATGAATTATCATTGATATGGTCATAATTATTAAACTTTGAATTTTTCGAAATACTTAGGATTTTCTACACAGGAATAGATTACCTCAAACGTGTTTAGCAAAACCTTTTGGAATTCTGGGTCCTCAGCGCACTTCAACCTCGTACTCTATTTAGTCTATTCAACTTATTTTTTTCGAGCGTCACTGATAAGTCTTATTTTTTAGACGAAACGCGCGTCTGGCGTACAAATTTTTAATCATGGTAAGAGTTTATTTATAACTTGTTTGTACACCATCATGAACGAAGTTTTTTGTTATGCATAAATGAATGCCTATGTACATAAGATAGACATGTTTGCTAAAGATGATATATTGGAAAACAAGTACTACAAAACTAGTTAATTAACTATGACTTTCTAATAGGATTAGACACAATTGTTCTAGATTTCATTGGTGTGTTTACTCGCCAAATGCACTCAAAGTTTTGTTAAACCTTGTATTTTCATTTACTTAATTTTTATGCCTCGTTCACACGTACATTTAATTCAAATTGAATTCGAATCGAATTCGCTAATCGCATTCACACACTCTCCTTTTTTTTTTTTTATTTCGAATCGAATTCGAATTGACTAATTCGCATTATCCAATTTGCATTAGAAATGCGTTTTCGTTCATGCGAATAAGTTATGCTGCGTTCACAGTTTAATTCGCATTCGAAACGTTTTACGTCCAAACGTAAATTCTAATTCGAATTGCAATGCGCATCAAATTCGTTTTACTGTCCGAACGACGTTTACTTTTAATTCGTATTAACAAAAACGCATTTCTTATTCGAATTGGATAATGCGATTTAGCCAATTCGAATCAATTCGAATTAAAAAAGAAGAGTGTGTGAACGCGATTAGCGAATTCGATTCGCATTCGATTCGAATTCAATTCGAATTAAATGTACGTGTGAACGAGGCATTAATTCGCTTTAATTCGAATTAAACTGTGGTGTGAACACTTTCTAAATTGTAATTCGAATTAAATTATAATTAACTAATTGATAATGCGAATTAAAGTTAACGTCGTTCGGACAGTAAAGCGAATTTGACACGCATTGCAATTCGTATTAAAATTTACGTTCGGACGTTAAACGTTTCGAATGCAAATTAAACTAATTCGCATTAGTTAATGCAAATCGAATTCGAATTACGTGTGAACGCAGCATTACTTTATCCAGAAAGTATACAATATGTACTATCAATGACAAAAAACTTTTTTTTGTTGGTGACGTCATTGTCTAATGTACATCACCGGTGAGTCTTTTGTAGACGAAACGCTCGTCTGGCGTCCAAGTTTTTAGTCTTGGTATATATGATGAGTTATTACTATTTACAACTCCTTTTTTGTTGGCGTCTTTGTTAGATTAATTTGCTTGTTTGAATTTTTTAGTCAGTTGTGTTTTATGTCTCAGGTGATCTATGTTTACACAGTTTTGACTGCTGGATCACAATTATTGTCACATTAATGTTAATGTCTGTGTTCGTTGCTTACCCAATTTTGTAAATTTAACGGAACTATAAACAGCTGTCATAGAAGTGGGAGGTTTAGCTAGCTTTACGCCAAGTTTAACCCACCAACAATTGTTTTAGAGACAATTGTTCTAGAGCTCATTCATGACGCATCGCAGTCCTTATTTTGACTGGACGTGGCTGCGAATTTAAACATCTCGCGCATTCAATTGGAAGCTCCACTTTTGCGAGGGTTTTACTTCCGCTCTAAATAATCAAAGGGATGACCATATTTCTTTACTCAAGTCAACCTTGAGGAGAGAACAGTTGAAGGTCATTTCACCTTTAAATTCACATTTATTGATAAGAAACTGCCTGTTCCAAGTCCGATATATGCCAGTTGTTTTTCGTGACTTGTTCCATTGATTTATAGCGTTTGATTAGTCAGTTTTTATGAACTTTCCTTTTTTGAATTTGCCTTGGAGTTCAATAATTTTGATTTGCTTTTTTTAAAAGGAGGTTATGTAAAAAATGTGAGTTATCGGCCGTGTTTATAAATTAACAACCTTTGAAAAGAATGTATTTTATCCTTATAATTCTCAACAGAGACATATAATAATATTGTATTATATGTCTCTGTTCTCAACCCAAATACTTTTGTCAATAAATTTCTGTTATCGTGTATCGCGCATGAATATATCACACTGTTTACATTATTACGAAAGTAGTTCTGGTAACATGGTTTTTCAATGTAAATCAGGAAAGAAATTTCAAAGGACCAATCACATTCAAGTATTTTTAAGAATTAAAAACCAATTATATCTATGAGAACAATTAATTGATAGACTGGTTGTTATTTGTTTTACGTCCAGTTTCAACTATGCCATACATGTTCTGGACGCGAACAAATTTGCCATAAAAGGTCCTGCAATTGAGGATTGACCGGTATGATTGGCGAGAAATTTGAATTGCCACTTAAAATTAGGGCATAATGGAAAGGAACAGATATTTAATCTTGCAAGGACACGTACGAAAACCTCATAAAGTTGTTTTAATGGTTCTTTAGTTGCAGAAAGCGTGGCACTCTCTCTTCATGGAGGTAGGTAAACGGGGGTGCTTGCACGAAAAAAAAAAGTGAAATAAGACATAATTTCACGTTGAACGTAAAATAATTTCTGTCATGAACGTTGCACGAAAAATAAAGACTTTGATGTGAACCTTTTGTGACTGAGTCACTGTCTTCTTGTATATATAAATTCTCTGTGTTACTTGATATTCCCGATTTAGTATACACATTTATGATATATATGGTGTACGGCTTTTTAAAAAAGTATACAACACTCTTCTTAACTATCAAAATGCAAAATCGATAAGAAACAACATCAAATGCCTTTCCGCTTTATCAAAAAACAAAATTAAATCCATTTTTTTCTTGACGATTCCTGCCAAGTGTTTGAATTTTATTTAAAAAATACCGAGCACGCAAAATAAGCATTTGAAAATCACGATGCACGTAAAATTGAATAAGCCGAACACGTTGAACGAGGCACCTGTCTTGCACGACAGAACGTCAAATAAAAAAGTAAATACACGTTGAACGTGAAATAAATAAATTTGGTGTATTTACTGTCTTCTGATTGGTTAAAAGTGTTACCTTTATTTTCAATGTTGTCAATTATTATGGCGACACGCCCACTCTGACGTTGTGTATTCATACGCCAACATGTGTGTACGTTGTTATTGTTAATATAAATAATATAAAAAGCTCTTTGAGCCTTATTTTTGATAGAAATTTATTTATAATGAATGGCTATTATTTATTTTGAATTTATTGAACCATAAAATTAATTTTTGACTCTTCACATTGAATAATCCGCGAAGCCATTCATTAGTAAAAAACGGCGATCACGTTGCACGAAAATAACCCTTTACTACCCTCTTCATGACGTATCGGATTTAACGTCCTTATTTTGACTGGAAGTGGCTGCGAATTTAAACATCTCGCCCAACCAAATGGAAGCCCTACTTTTGCGAGGGTTTTACTAGCGCTCCAAAGAATCCAAACCATATTTCTTTACCCAAGTCAACCACGAGGAGAGAACAATTGAAGGACTTTTCACCTTAATTCACATTTGTTGATAAGAAAGTGACGGAACAAAAAATAAATTCTAGACAACTTTCGGTTTTAAAAGTCACTTGGTGTAAGAAGAAAGTTAAACCAAGCCTGATTAAAAGTTCTATATCAAAATGGAAATAATAAGCAATTGCAGGTTTACATAAAACCCCTTCTACGGTGTCAAAATATTATTATCTAAACTGATTCCAAAGATAATATGTTTTTTTAAAGACGTTTTCTTGATATGAGAGAAATAATAAGCTACTTCTGGGTTAATAAATGTCATCGACGGAAGATTGTTTTATTCTAATTCTAGAAATATATGATTTTTATGTATTTTTTTTATAAAATATAGAAGATAATTGACTATTAAAAAAAAAGAGAAAAGTTCTATATCAAAATGGAAATAATAAGCAATTGCAGATTTACATAAAACCCCTTCTACGGTGTCAAAATATTATTATCTAAACTGATTCCAAAGATAATATGTTTTTTAAAGACGTTCACTTGAGAGAAATAA